GGTCACAAGCGCAGGCTGGGCCGCCGCCGCTGCCGTCGTCGTCGCTGCCGCACGACAACACTGATCGGCTTTTGATTGTGGGGGCGATGTGCGACTGTGTGGGCCATGTGTGTCCCAAGTGTCACGCAGCAGCCCCCACATAAAAAATAGACAACAACAATAACAAAAACTGGAGGCAAAGCATCAACCTACTTTTGGGCTTAAAATATTGAGTAACACTTTGTGAGCGCATACATTTTAGGGGAAAATTCATTTAAGTCCTATTAACGGGCTGCTCTTAAAAGCTCTGCTCTGCTCTTAAAAGTCTTAAACGGCTACCACTGAGCTTTACATAAAGAAACTGCTCTCAAGGTTTCAGTACACAGAAAAGCAGGAGTTAAAGAGGAAGTTAGAGCGCTTACATTTACATACAAACACACACTCGCTCACACACACACACACACACACACACATACACACACACACACTCACTCACACGCACATATTAGATCAGCGACTAAGTAGAACAACAATAAAAAAATAGTAACAATGGGCAGCAGCACTGCGATCGTTCGTGGTAAAGCTCCACCAGAAAAACAACAACTCAAAAGTAGAAAAAATTAAACAGACTGCAAAAAAAAAAACCAACCAACAACACGCAATAGGGCAAGGCAAACAACAACAGCGCTAGCGGCAGCAGCAGCGACGTCAGCAGCGAACTGAGCTGAGCCAGCAACAGGAATTTACGATTCAGTGGCTACCTTGTTGTTGTTGTAAGTCTGTATGTACACACACACACACACACACGCACACTTAAACATTCATGTATTTGTATTTGTTGCTATTTCACCTGGGTTGGGGCGCTCAGTATATATGTGTGTGTGTGTGTGTGTGTGTGTTTGTGTGCATGGATCTTCGCCTAGGTGCGCCTGTGTGTTAGAGAGAGCCTATTAGGCAAAGCACTCGCTTCCGTTGTAAGAGCATTCGGTAAGGGCAGAGGCGGGAACCGTTACGCTTAGAGTATAGAATAGACAAAAACCAAAACAACAACATCAGCCAAGTTTGTAGGTGTGTAGGATCAGCGTAGAAATTGAGAGGTAAAACAACATTTGGCAGCTTAAAAAGCTGCTAGCAAACCATATCTAAACAACAAAAATCCAATTGCGCAGCGCTTATAGGATTCCAATTTGAAAATTCGTCATTCGCCTGTACGCTTCACTTGTAGAATTTACAGTTGCTTACGTAATACCGCACCAACACAAGCGCCTACACACAAACGCTCCTTCAAATGCACACACGTACACACAGACAATTAAAGTTTTTTGTTTTTGTTTTTTTTTTGTATGAGGCCTGCGTCGCTGGCTCAAGTTTCCACATGTTTTTCCAATTGCCACAAAAGCCAAGCCAACCACACACACACACACACACACAGGCACAGTTGGAAAAACCAAAGGCATTGACGGCGGCTGCGGCCCAACCCCAGACCAGCCCGATGGCCGCCCAACCCAAGTGCCGCCTATTGCCCTTACAATTACAAGCACACAGAAAGAGAGAGGAAGATGGAGGGCAACAAAAACGGCTGCTGCGGCGCGGCACCCAAAGTTGTTTCTAGCTTTTTCTTTTTCCATCATGTTTTTCTTTTTAACCCCGTTTCGTCAACGTTGTCGGCATGTCCGTTCGTCCGTCCCCTCCTCCTCCTCGCAGGCCCCATCGCGTGCAAGGGAAATTAAAAATTCAAAAAGTCAAAGGCGCAAGCAGCGAACCGACGTCCGACTGTGCGAGAGAGCGAGCGCAGCGAAAACAACACAAGTGTAGAGAAATATATATATATATATATATAGAGAGAGAGAGAGCGTCACTTTGGAGACTTGGGGACTCGGCGATCAACTGTTCGTTCCTTTTGTGAGAGCGTAACGTTGACTGCGCTGCTGGCAGCGCAGCTGGCGCACTACACAACTGCGACCGACGGATGTAGGATTGCTGTCTATGTGTGTGTGTAGCAAGAAGCTAATAAGCGGGCAAGTAGAAGAAGAAGAAGAAGCAGCAACAGCGGCAGCAGCAGCAGAGGCCTCGGTCGTCGCTTGGCTCGTCGTTTAGGAGCCGAGGATCGCTCAGTCAGTGTATTGGTGTCAAACGAGACGGACGAATTTGGCGGCAAAGAGATTTTCATTGCGTTTCGTTCGTTCGTTCGGTCGCGCCCCCTCTCCCACTCTATCTTTCTCACTCGCACCAAATTGTGAAAATTTCCATTTGGAAATTTTGGGCACCGACAACGACAAGAAAAACAAGCAGTTTCAAAGTTAAAATTAAGCAAAACGTGCAAAAACATAAAAGTAAAAGTTAAGCAAAGGAAAACTGCAGGCGTCAGCAGTTAACGGAAGCCAGTAAAGAAAGGTGCATAAAAAAAGAAATGTGAAATACGTGAAAATTATTTTGCCAATGCCAGCCGCCCCCATTGAATCAAAAGTCGCGCATGTCCCAAAAGTGCCTGAAAATACACATATACATATGCAAACATATAGCTTGCATACATATATGTTTGCATGACTGTGTGTGTGCTGCTGCTGCCATCGCAAGGGGGTGTAAAAATAAGCGCATGTAAAGTGATCTCCGCAGGCCCGCCTCCCACCCCTTAGCAACGAGCGCTTATCATGCGCCCTATCCGTGTGTGCCTGAACGTGTGCGTGTGTGTATGTGTCTGTGTGCGCCTGTGTGCGTGCGTGCGTGTCGGGGCTGCGCAGTCGGCTTCCTGCGCGAGGACTTTGACTTGTTCATTTCATTCGTTTTGACTTCGCTCATTCGCTCGTGAGGCCCGCTCAAGTGAGGACGTGTCAGCGGCAAGCGTAACTTAAAACTCAGCAGAATAAACTAAATAGTTATCATTGTGCATAATGTAAGAAGTTCACTTGTTTTAAAAAGTTCAATATTTATAAACAATAAATTCAACACAATTTTTTTCTTTCAAAAATATGTGCACGTACATATGAAAGCGCACAAACAAAAACTATTTATTAATGCCACTGCGCTAGATCAGCGAAGCAAATTATTTTTTTTTTACTGCTGCAAAAGCTGCGACGGAACTTTAAAAGCTCTCTGCTGCCATTCGCTGTAGTGTTTGTGTGCGTGTGTAAGAGAGCGGCAATGTTTTTATGTAGAAATATGCGGCAAGTGTCTAACGCTCACTCTCGCGCTCTCTGAGATTTTAGTTTGAGTGACTGGCAGCCCATTCAATTAATTTGAACAAGTGCACTACGAAACAATAACAATTACTACGAAAATTGCAATAACAAAAAACAAGAAAATAAGAAAAGAAAAAGGGCAAAAGCATAAACAAAAAGCGAAAGGCATGTGTAATAATTAGACAGCAAGTGAAATTGTAAAATTAATGATTTTAAATTAAGTGTACAAAGCAGAGCCGTGCGATAAGATAAGAAGAGCGCGTTGGCAAACATAAGCAACAAGTGCAAGGGGCAAGGAAAACGGACAGAGCGTGTGTATGTGTATGCGGCCCTTGTATGTGTGCTTGTGAGTGTGCGAGCATGCTAAGGAGTTTCAACAAAAGCAAAAAAAAAAAAGGCAAAATGAATCAAGTGATAAGTGCTATGAACAATATTTATCAACGTGTGCGTGCGTGTGTGTGTGTGTGTCTCCAGCTACTTGGATATGCCGGATCTGGAGCATTCTACCAAGTTTTACGTTTGCTACTTCAGCTATTCGAAAATTTAATGAGTTTTGCTGCTGTGTAAACTTTTGCTGATTCTCCTTTACACAATTTACGTGCCTGTTGCTTAAGCTGTGTACGTGCATTTATATATATGTGTGTGTGTGTGTGTATTCGTTTTAATTTGTTTCTCTAAGCTTCCACACCCTTTGGCAAGTTTTCAAGTCTACACACACACACAGGCGCACGTCGTCCCACAAGCAAAATAGCACAAAAACCCAGCAGCGGCAGCACTTAAAGCAATTCATCAATATTACTGGGAAATTTTATGCAAACTTCCTTTCATAGTTTGAAATAATGGTGAATGAATGCCAGCATTCAAACTAAGCAGTGCGTAATGAAGGCGAGACCCAAGGTTGCCACAGTACGAAAAATGCACCAATATGGTACTTTGTTCATCCAATGTTAGACTAGACCCTTTTTCTACAAATATTACGTTTAATATTTACATTTAGATACATACAAAAAAAAAAAATTCTATTGCTTTGAAAAGTTGTATATTTAAATTTGTTAATGAGTTCCTGCTACTCTTATGTCACCTTCGACATTCATATTAAAAGGGAATTTAACTTGAGTACTAAATTTCCCTGTGTACATGTGAATTTCACTGTGCCTTTTCATGCTAGCCATTTCAACTGGGTCGTGCAACAGGCAAGCATATTCGAAGACTCACACGCACACACACATAAACAAACACATGCCAGTCGAGGCTCTCGCTTTGCGCTGCGATCGGTGCGTGCTCTGTGTCTGTGTGTGTGGGTGTATTATTGTTATTGCTGGTCTGCAGCGGTTGTTATTGTTGTAATTTGCCCATTTGAAACACATTTGAAATTTCCATTTAGATTTCCTCATTTAGTTGTTTTTTTTTTTTTTATTTGTGTTTGTTGTATTTTTCGTTTTGTTTTCCTGCCTGCTTGCCTAGCTGCCGCTGCCGCTGCCGCTGCCTGCATAATATTCAGACCTTTGCCGTCTATTTGACCTGTCGGGTCGTCTGTTAAATTAAATTTGGTTTGCATTTAATTTATGAGCGAGTGACGAAGCGTCCAGCGCTCGGCTCGGGCTCATTGTAGGCGCCCCGCCACCCCTTAAAACAATTTCCATTAACCCATCCTTTTGTGATGGGTTGAACAAGGACTCTAACTTTAGAACAGGGCTTTTAGGCAACTGGACACTCTTATGTGATTAATAAAACATATTTATTAACGTATTTTGAATTTGAAGCTATAACAAAATATCTCGTTCGCATTCTCATTATTCCTAACTAATTGGTTTCCTTTTAAATGTCTGAATTCCTTTGCAGCATTCTTTGATATTAACGTCAAAATGTTAGGCAACTAATCAACTAAAAAGGACGTCAAGGATATATTTGTATATGAATTAGAGAATTATCAATTGCATGCAATACGTTAAAAACAACACAGGCAAGGAATCTATTGTCCGAACCAAATTTGTTCCACGCCAATTGACGGAACAATTCAACTGACAATTAACAAACAACACAAAAAAACCCCCCCCAAAAACGGCTTCCAAATGAAGATGGCATCTCAACGGTTTTGTTTGCGCTGGAACAACCATCAGAGCAATCTGTTATCTGTCTTTGATCAGCTGCTGCACGCGGAAACCTTTACAGATGTGACGCTGGCCGTCGAAGGACAATACCTGAAGGCGCACAAGGTAATATTAATTAATTGAACGTCTGAGAGCCTTAGTCTAGCTGTAGTATTAAGGCATATCAACTGGAACTTAGTATGTTTAACTAACATTAGTTTTGTATTTGACAGATGGTGCTATCCGCCTGCAGTCCATATTTCAATGCACTGTTTGTCAATCATCCCGAAAAGCATCCGATTGTCATATTGAAGGATGTGCCCTATTCGGACATGAAGTCGTTATTGGACTTCATGTATCGCGGCGAGGTGTCTGTCGACCAGGAGCGTCTCACCGCCTTTCTGCGCGTCGCCGAGAGTCTGCGCATCAAGGGCCTGACCGAGGTCAACGATGACAAGCCCACATCAGCAGAAAGCGCCCCAGCGCCGCCCCAATTGCAACGCATACAGCCGTACCTGGTGCCGCAGCAGCGCAAACAGCCAAATGTGCTGGCTGCCAATGCCGCAGCGGCCGCGCTTCAAGCAGCTGCCACGCAGCAGCAGCACCAACAGCAGCAGCAGCAGCAGCAGCCGTCGCTGCTCAGCACCGCCCTGATGCCCAAACGTAAAAGGGGCAGACCCCGCAAGCTCTCCGGCAGCTCCAATGGCACCGGCAACGATTACGACGAGTTTGAACGCGAGGGCCTCATGAATGTAAGTGCGCAGAAAGAACCCGTAAGAGCTCGCAGTTTAAATGCCCTTGCAGCTTATAGTTATAGTAGAGTAGAGAATGAGAATTGTTAAAGTAACTTGCTGCAAGGGTTTAGACTGTGCAAACCAACTAATAGATGTGCATTGTTTAGAGGCTTTATTAATTTGAACCCAATTTACAAAATAGGACTCGGATATGGGCAATGGCAAGCTGTGCAATGAGTCGTATTCCGGCAACGATGATGGCTCCGATGACAACCAGCAAGAATCTGCGCACAATGACGATCTGAATGTGAGTGTGTCCCCCTTCTGTTGTCTTTGTTGATCGTCGCTAATGTTTGGGTTTTCACCAACTTTTCACTTTTGCAGGAAAGCCGCGACTCGCTGCCCACAAAGAGATCAAAGAGCGGGAAAGATCAGCGCATGGCACAACAAGACGACAACAGCACTTCTGGTGAGTGGAAAATGTTTCAGTTTTTCTCTCATTTCGTGCTCATTTATGAAACAATGCACAAGAACATCATTGTAAAGCGCAAGATTTGTCCTATATTAACCCTTAGTCTAAGCTTAACATTTATTATGCTAGCCCTAAGCAAAACACCATCAATCAATCAATCAATCAGTCTATTGATAAGATCAAACAGTTAATCAGTTAACATCACAATAAACCCAGGAACACAGCACAAGAAATCAATACAAATACGCAACATTCGAAAAGCATTCGAAAAACATTCGAAAATCTTTCGAAAAACATTCGCAATACTTTCGAAAAACATTCGAACAACTCATTTGCAAACATTTTCGAATTGTGTTATCGGAAAAGCTAAAAGGGATTTACGCATTTCATATTTAAAAAAAAAAAAAGAGGAAAAGAAAAACGAAACGTTTTCTCGCGTCGGTGTGCAGAACCACAAAAAAAAAAAAAAAAAAAAAAAAGAAAATGTGAGAAAAGTTGAGTTCAATTTTGTAGTGTGTACACGAATTCGTTATGATCGCGCATTTGCTGAGTTTCGCATTTTTTTGTGTTTTTGAAGCATCCTGCGAGCGCCAGGTGAGTGTATCCAATGCAACAAAAACAACAGCAACAACAACAACAACAATAAACAGACGCTAGTACGATGCCAAAGAAATGCAAATCCACAAATGCTGTAGAAGAAAAACAAAGAACAACAAAAAAGAAAAGAAAAGAAAAATTAATTAGTCAAGTTGATAATCGGGTTGAAGCTCACAGGGATTAAAGGCCGACGCTTGAAATAAATATTACAAAAAATAGATTGAACAAAATTTTGTAGCTGAAAATTAAAATGCAAAAAAAAAAACCGCGTAAAAACAAAAAGCGTAAAAAACCAAAGAAAAACGTTACACCTAAAAAGAAAAACTCCAGCTGATGAAAATTCATGGAAAATGCTGAAAACTAAAACAATTTTGTTTTCGTATCGCGTTTGCTAGAGTGTTGAAATATGGCTTGAAAATCCCTATAGCTTTTCCGAACCGATTTGAAACTTCGTTCATTTGTGTTTTTGCCTTTCTTTTGCATACTACACACACACACACACACACACACACACTCATCACAGCACAACAGCCAATTAATGAAATAAACATTTTTTAGATGGCAATGACAGCGATGGCGACGCCCTGGATACATCCTATATGGAGCCGCAACTGATGCTGGATGAATACGACGAGCCCGTGGAATTTAAGTATAATCCCCTAACGGACAGCTCACCGACGCAGGATCAGAACCCATCAGCGGACAATCAACATATCAACGAGCAGGCGCGCCAGCAGGCATTCCTCATTGCAGCACAGCGGAAACATCAGGCGGAAACCGCGGCGCTGGCTGCCTCAACAACAGCTGGCGGGGGCGGCGGCGGCGGCGGCGGCGGTTTGAAGCTCAACATCATTGGCATAGCCAGCGCAGCGGGTGGCGGCAAGTCCATGGTCAGCATACCGAAGCTGACGCCGATTGGCAAGGTGAATGCCGCCTCGACGCCGCTGGTGTCGCCCGCCTCGTCCTCCTCGTCCAAGCCGCGTGCACAGAAGCGACCCAAGCTGAAGCAGAATGGCGATGTTAAGAGTGTGTTTGCCGCTGGGCAGGAATATCTAGATCTGTACAATAGCAGCGATGGCTTTAAGCTCAAATCGGAGCTGTTGGGCGGCAGCACGCCCAATCTGAGCAGCAGCAGTGCGGGTGGCGCGGGCAGCATATCCGTTACGCCCACTGTGAAAACCAAACTCAATCTCAGCAGCAATGTGGGCGAGGGCGAAACGGAGGGCTCTGTGCGCGACTATTGTACCAAAGAGGGCGAGCATACGTATCGCTGTAAAGTCTGCTCCAGGGTCTATACACACATTAGCAATTTCTGCCGGCACTATGTGACCTCGCACAAGCGCAATGTCAAGGTGTATCCGTGTCCGTTCTGCTTTAAGGAGTTCACGCGCAAGGATAACATGACGGCGCATGTCAAGATCATACACAAAATCGAGAATCCATCCACAGCGCTCGCCAATGTGGCAGCTGCGAGTTTGGCAAATCAATCGGGCCTGGGCGTGGCCGTTGGCACAGCCACGCCGCCGGATTTGAATGCGCAGAACTCGAATCAATCGCTGCCGGCGACAAGCAACAATGCATTATCCACCTCATCATCGTCGTCGACATCATCCTCCAGCGGCTCGTTGGGGCCGCTGGCAACGGCAGCAGCGGCCGCTGCCGCGGCGCAGTAATCTCCACACATACAGACACACACACACACACATAAACACAGAGCCGCATATTCCAAAATGAGAACTATTAAAGAAAGAGAAAAGCAAAAGAAAATGTAAGAAAAGCCTGAGGCAGCGCCAGGCGCTACGTGTGCCTTATGTGCTTTAAGTGGGCGGGTTAGGTTGTGGCTTGGGGGGAAGGGTGGGGATTATGTATAGACTAGGGGCGGGTTTTTTTTTAGCAGAGGCCGTTAACATTTCAATTTTGTTAATTTTTGTTTTTTAGTTATTTACTTGGCTTTGTTAAAAGAAAAAGAAAACAGCATGAAGAATTTCTCTCTCTTTCTCTCTACATATACATATTTATATATGAATACATATATATATATATATATATATATACTTTTCTTTTAATTTTTTTATACGAACTTATGTTGTGCAATTATATTCAAACTAGTTTAAACATTATATAAAACAAACACATTTTATATTTAATTAATTAATAATATTAAAATAATGTTAGTTATAAAAGCAAAAAATCGCAAATTTTGGCATTTGCATATTATTTTTTATAAAATGAATGCAGCACCGCGGCGGCCTTATAAAGCACATCCTTGTAACGCCCCAAGTTACAATAAAAACTAAAAACTACAACAAAAAAAAACTAAACTAAATTTTAGTTAATGACAAATGCTAACTATATATATATATAATATACACATATACATATATATATATTTATATATTAATCCATAAACATGTGCACATGTGTCTTTGGTATGCGTAGCTATAGCTCTATTAATTAATTTATATATACCCTTTATATATATATATATACTAAACATAATGTTTATCATTTTGTTTTACGTTTAAATTTGTTTATAAATATGTGTGAAAAGCGTAGCGCAGTTCTACCTTGTTGCCTTCAAATGAAGCTAGTTGAAAGAAAACATCAAAAATTTATATGGATTGGTTCTGATCCAAACCAAGATCGAAAATCGAAAAAAAAAAAATTAAATAAAACATGCAACACAAATCGCAACGAGAGATTGCAAATGTTTCGTTGCGATTTGTGTGCGTCCACGTTAAATGTTAATAAACTAATTTTAAAAGCAACATTAATATATATTATATACAATATTACATACAATAATTAACATAATAATGAATTAAATATGATTATGTTTATTATATAATGAAACAGAAAATAACTATGCAAATAATTTATCAATTTATTACATAATTACATTTTAAATGCAAAAAACAAAAAACAAAAACAATTAAAATTTATGTTGTATATCGGAGGCTTAAATTATCGCCAAAGAAATGAAGCAAAACAAAAGTAAAATTAATCAAAAATAAATACAAATAAAAACAAAAACAAAAAACAAAATGCAAACAACAATTAAAACGAAAAACATGTACATTCAACAAAGCAGCAGCAAAAATAAACAATTCAAATAAAAACAAATGCAAAATATGAATAAACGCGATCTCCAAAAAAAAAAAAAAAAACAAAACTTGAAAAAGTTAAAAAGCAAAGAATAAAGAATTGAATTTGAAATTGAATTTGTTGCATTCAAAAAAAAAAAAAAAAAAAAAAAACAGACAGCTCCAATTTAAATAAAAAGTAATCAAAACAGCTATTAATTAAACAGTAATAATTAAATACAATAATTTATTAAATATAATTTGTTTTTAATTCTTTATTTAGTGTTAGCTAGTGCAATTTAGTTAAGTAAACGCTCTATCCACCAACAATCGCAACAGATTCGATAACTGCAGCCTACCCCAACAATAACTATATATATCTGCATATATATATATACATATATCTATTTTCTTTTGGCATTAACACAGCTATACACACACACACATATATACATATATATATATGTACAATATGTATTTGTATTGTATGTACTTTATTTAAACTTTAATTTTAGTTTACGTTTTATATACAAATACGTTTATTTTGCATTCACACACACACACACACACGCGCATAATGAAAAGAGGGAACACCCCTAACAATTTCCACGCCTAAACAAAAAGAAAAACAAACTTCCAACTCGAAAAACTATATTGTTTATTATCAAATCCCTTCCATAATATTATATATATTATAATTAAACAGTCATGCTTTTGATGCCCAAAGAAAATAACAACAAAAAAAAAGATTATAAAGTTATATTAAACAGAGCTTGTTGCACAGTTAAATATGGTTGAAAGGCAAAAGTAATGTGTGTGCTAATACCCACAACAAACACACACACACACACACACACACACACATGCGTTTGGCCTTAGCGCAGGTTTAGCAAAAATGCAAAAATAATAAAAATAAAAAATATAAAAAAAAATAAACAACAATTAAGCTTGTAAAATTAATCAATTTTAGTAAATCACGCAATATTATTCATTTAAAAAGAAAACATATTTTGTTATATTTGATTACGAAATACGATAAATGATTATTATATATCGATTAACTGACAAATGTGAAGAGAAATAAAATACACACACACACACACAAAAAAAAAAAACAGTTCTGAAAAAGAAACAAATTGTTTGAGTTTTAATTTGTATATTTATTCTTAATCCCTTTGCCCCTTAAAAAAGGTCAAACGGTAAATTGTTTTTATCTTAATGTTTTTAACTTCTGCGATCCTTTAAAGCATATATATTCTTGATCATGTTTGTCCTTAGCCGAGTCTAACCGTTTCCTATGCATGAACGAACTCTGAGACTAAAAGCTAAATAAATCGGGATAGATCTGGCTCGGACCTCGATCCAGATGTTTGCATAGTCGACATATTTCAAATAATCGATCGACTAATTTACATGAAATCGATAAGTATCGATTTTCAGATTACGTGTTTTTTTTTATCATATTTCGGAGAGAACTCAAATTTGGTAAGCAGGTTCTCTTGGAGTATACGCAGCTCCTATTTAAATTTTTAAATAAATAAATAATTTCACTTTTAAGACATCCCTTCCTGCCAGAAATAAGCAAAATAAAAGGTCTTGATCTTTGGTACATAGACATATTAGTATGTCATATTCAAGCCCCTCAAATTGCACAAAGATCGGACCTCAAACACCGAAGATAATCAAGAATGCATTTCCCATATATAAGCTGGGGTTAAGGGGAAAAAAACACACACATGATGTGGTTGTATATGTGTGTGTGTAAAAGCTCTAGGCGCTGGTTGCAGTGTATCATCCAGTCGGGCACACCCGACTAGAATACGCATGCTTTTTAACATTTTATACTCCTGATCCCACCCACAGCACAAACCGCCACACCCGAGCTCTCGCAGCGGCTTTTCGGCACGTCCACGCATATCTCGCCTGGCACAGGGACAACAACAACAACCACAGCTACAGCAACAACAGCAGAGTCGCCAAACGGACGCGAATCCAGTGGCGATAATGGCGCTGCCGCCTCGCTGCATCTGCCCACCATATTGGGCCTGAAGATACGCGCGATAAATGCGAGCAATCAGCCGGCGGGAGGGCAGCACAACAACAACTCGCTGCTCAAGCAGCAGCTGCGCGGCGGGGCCAAGGATCCCGAAATGGTGCCGCTGGCGGTGCCAACGCCGTTGCCGTTGTCGGCGGATGATGCCATGGAGATGCAGCAGCAGCAGGAGAGCAGCTGCAGCGCGCTGCAGTCGCTGGCCAATGCGGCGGAGCGGCAGGCGCAGCAGACGCCCAGCAGCAACAACAACAACAGCAGCAACAACAACGACAATCACAATGCCAGCCTGCAGCAACAGCTACTGCTGCATATGGCAGCCACAGGGAATCCGCTGCTGAAGGCGGACTATTGCCAGGCACAACAGCAGCAGGCGCCACCGCCACCGCCTCATGCCTCGCCGCCCGCCGAAGCACACTATGTGGATGAGGAGCTGGATCTGCTGTGCGTGGTCGATAACAATCCGGACAAATGCGATGAAACCGATCATGAGCTGCTCACGCTGGCGGATGAAAATGCCGGACTGCCGGGCTTTGAGGAGCCGCCGCTGAGCAACAATGAAACCTCCGCTGCAGCGAGGTCTGCCACAGCGCCTGCCACGCCCAAACGCCCCATACAGCGACGACGTGTGCGACGCAAAGCGCAGTCCACGCTGGATGACCAGGCGGAGCATCTGACCGAGATGTCGGTGCGCGGACTGGATCTGTTTCGATATGCGAGCGTTGTCGAGGGCGTCTATCGGTGCACCGAATGCGCCAAGGAGAACATGCAGAAGACCTTCAAGAACAAGTACAGCTTCCAGCGGCACGCGTTTCTCTATCACGAGGGCAAGCATCGCAAGGTGTTTCCTTGTCCGGTGTGCTGCAAGGAATTCTCGCGGCCGGACAAAATGAAGAATCATCTGAAGATGACGCACGAGAATTTTACGTCGCCCAAGGACATCGGCGCCTTCAGCCCGCTCAAGTATTTGATCTCCGCGGCGGCAGCGGGCGATATGCACACAAATCTCTATCAGCAGCAGCAGCAGCAGCAGGAGCACTTACAACAGCAACTGGAGCAGCAGCAGCAACTGGAGCAACAGGAGCAGATGCAGCGCCAGCTGGAGGAGCACCACCAGCATCAGCAGCAGCAGCAGTCGCCCTATGACTGTCAGGACAACGCTCTGCTGCTGCCAGATGTGGTCAAGCTGGAGCAGGAGCAAGAGCAGGACCAGGATATGGAGCTAGCGCCAGCCACGCCCACAGCTGCTGCGGCGGCCATGCTCAGCTTGCAGCATGACGTCATCATCAAAAACGAGATACAAATCTCGCCATCGCCATCCCCCTCACCGCCGGCCATGTACTCGGTGTCGGAGGGCAAGAGCCTGCCGCCAGCGCAAACCGCAACGTAAAGACTTAAGCCTAGGATCAGCTGAGAGAGACACAGTGTGAGTGAGGAAGAAAGAAAGAGAGAGAGAGAGAGAGAGAGAGCGTGCCTTAAACAAAACAAACAACTGTAAAATACTAATATACTTAATGCTAAGCAATTGTCAGAGCCATGGGCGTAGGCATAGTGTGTTTAAAAGGGGTGAGAAATGTGAGGCAAATGACTGCACACAAAAAAAAACAGTTTTAAAAACAAAGAACTCCTTATATACAAAACACATTTAATGAAAAAATTAGATATTATATAATAAATATATTAACGCTCAACCCCTCTGAAACGAAATTCTGCTTACGCCCTTGGCCAGAACTGGAAACACTCAAAACGCATAATAGTTAATACTAATCCTTAAGGCCCTTTAGTGCACATCATCTAGCAAAATTCATTACTTAAGCTATATATTTACAGTTAGAGCAATAAGTTCAACAAGATTCCGTCCATAAAGCCTTACGTTTAGTTCTATAGATATTATGTACTTATAAATATTTAGTGTTAAGTCAAATGCAACTGATTAACTAGTAGGAAATTTCTTTATCCCACTGCCTTAATGGTCATAACTTTTGGATTTAACTCATATTTAAATTAATAATTGACATTTTTCTGTGACTCGTTGCAATTAGGTACTCGTCGAATGGCAGCAACGAGTAAAGTGTGCTCGTTACTTTGCCATTCGTTCATGCAACAGACATGTGCTTTTGAAACTAACGAGTAGGCGCCGTCCAACTAAATTTACCCGCTACTTTCTACTCGTTACTTTATTTTTTGTTTGTTTATTTCTTATGTGATTTTGTTAAACTGTATTTTGTTTTTAGTCTATCGTTTTGTTGTATATAGTATTACGTTCAATACTCAAAGACCGTAGAATAATTGGTGTGTTTCATTGGTAAAACAAGAAACCGGAAACCCAATGAATTGGCTATTTGTGCAATTATCAAAAAAAAAAAAAAAAATGAAAAAAAGTGAAACATGTATAACTACGTGGCGTCTGGCAAGCCCAACCCATGGAAATTATGTAAACTTAATTAACGACTACTTAATTATGCTCTAGCAGACTTTTTCTAGATTTATAAACATACTTTATATATATAGCATATTTAGTCTAGTTATTTTAACGATATAATTAGTAAAGCATTGTCGAAATGCGCAAGGGACTTCCAGTGAATATTAACTGATATTTTTTACTTAAGCTCAACAATGGATACTACCAACTAGCTATATTACCCAATAATTGCCTAGTGTCCTACATATATCCACCACATAACGTACGCACAAAAAAAAACAGTACTCAGCATTTGTATTATGTATTTTTCTGATTTAAATGTATTTACTTAAAGCAATCATTACGACTTAAGCTGTCAATGCGCTCAATAAATAGATTTTATACAACGTACTCTCATATATCCTCTTGAATGCAGTCCAACTCCATTTAGTATCTGGATATCTGGGCTGGATCTAGATAATTTACCACTTATCAAGTAAGACTTCTACTTAACATATTAATCAAATTCTAAAATAAAAAATATGATTTTTCTAATTTCTTATAATTCCGAAAAAGTATAATTTTTTTTATATTCTGAATCAATTTAGAAGAGTTTTGAATAATTTTGAACCTCCTCAGAAACTTCCTAAATTTGTTTTTTATAGTAACTACAATTACACCTAAATACATTACAAATAAACCTTAGAAAATTGTAAAACCAAAATCTTTTATGACCTATTTCGAAATCTAGGCACAAGTAGCATTTTGTTTTATTTAAAATATTTTATATATTGTCACTCAATAGAGAAACGCTGGCGCCATCTAGCGACAGGTAGACCACTATCAGAATATATAGCATACTTATGCGGGACCCTGTAACCGAACACTGTAGCTACATTTCAGAAAGTTATAAAAATACGAATAAGTGTAAATAGTAAAATAGTTTTAAGTTTTATTAGAATCCTACCAACTATTGATTATTAGCACGACGATACCAAAAACGTGCTCGGAAATCATCGGAACAGGTGAGAAAAGCGGGCGCGTTGGGCGAGTGGGTTATGTAGCGCACAGGTCCGTTGTGACCCAGAGAGTTGAGTGTCAAGCGACAGCCATTACGCGAATTCCAGGAACATAAAGACGTCGTCGCTTCATCTGGGAACAGTACATAGTCTTCGGTGTGATTGAATACAGCTTCCGCTTGATGCTCCTGTTTGCCGGTGGTGCCGGCGCCCGTATATGTCTGTATGGGTCGACTGGTGCACAGCTCCCACAGGTAAACAATCGAGTCCATGCCAGATGAGAGCAAGTACTACAACAAAAATGGGAACGCATTAAAACTGGTAATCATATAGATATTATATTTACCTTTCCGTTTCGCGTAAACTGCAAGGAGCAAATGGCTGCCCCGCTGTGCGCCTCAGCAATAGTGTTAATACACCGCCCACTGATGCCGTCCCAGATTTTGATATCGCCATCAAAGCTTCCCGTTGCATAGAGCTTTGCTGTGGGCGAATACTTTACGCATGTAACGCCTGCCTTGTGCTGCTGCGATGGAATGGCGCTAACAAAACACTGCGTCGTGTGCACGTCATAAACACGCAGTACATTGTGCTCTGTGCCAATGGCTATGTAGTCGCCAGTTGGATGAAAGGAGACGCAAAGCACCGGCTCACAGTCGGTGAGTACTTTGTGCGCCTTCTTTACCGACGGCTTGGCAATGTCAAAGAGTTTCACGGTGCCATCGCGAGAGGCCGACGCCAGTATGTGCTCCTTCGGATGAAATTCCAGATAGGACACCTCATCCGTGTGATCATACAGTGTGCGAATAACAGGATGACCCTGCTGTTCGCGGCCAGGCTCAATATCCTCTGGCGCCGATTTGGCCAACATGCGCTCCACATCCAATATTTTGATGCTGGCATCCACACTGCCCGTGGCTACCAGGGAGCCATCAAAGCTGAAGGCACCAGCCCGGCAAGCCTGCTTGTGCGACGTAACATATGCAGTTTCATAGGAATGCGGCTCTGGCGCCAGTGCAGATGCTTCCGGCTCAAATTCTAGATCAATGCCAGGCAGCACATCATCCGTGTTGGTTTTATCTTTGTCAGCCATTGTCTGCATGCCCGAGATCATGACATGCAGCAGACGCTCACTTGGCGCACATTGATCCGCCTTGACCAGCATTGACAGCTCCATTGCAAATTTTTCCAAGCCATCGTACATTAACTGGCTACACATAGAGACTTTAAATAACTAATACACTTTATGAATGGTCAATTGCAGCTTACCTTATCATTAACCGGTATAATATTTCCCGGTTCTTAACCAAATTATGCGGATCCAAAATCTCGTCGCGCATCTTTCCTTATAAATATAAAATTAGTGATGTGAGCAAACATTAAAAACGTTGATGTATCGATGTTCGCGGCAGCCGGTGTTTGCTGGTCGTCATTTAAGATGTTTGAAAATCAATGAATTGTAGCAACATATCACAAGTGCATATAATCTTAAATTTGTCATGGCATAAATTCTTGTCATAAATTTAAATCAAACATACAAATGTATCAATATTCCGTACCATTCAAATCATATTTTTCTGTAAACATCGATATTTCGATGTTTACTTTAAAAGAGGCCTATCGATCGCAGTCACTTTCTCATATGTTGTAAAACTATCGATAATCAGATTACAAACGAAATAGCGTGCCGCAATCCTAATTTCGATTGTTTCAAATTTCGATAGCACACAGCTGCAACACGTGCAATTGTTTTGTTTTCATAGCATTCGTTGTTAACAATCTTAAAGACGAAAAATGAAAATTCGCAAGAATCACGTGCGTAAGCGTTACCGCTACAATGTCAATCGCAAAACAATGAACAAACCACGAAAATCCACTGGCAACATCAAGGAGTAAGTTACCCAGCGCGCAAGCATATTCAGTTGCCTTTAATAAAACATGCTCACTTGACAGTCCCGAAATGAAGAAATTGTGGCTGGAAAGTAAACGCGTGGGTACCAATTTCAGTGAAATGGGGCTGGCTAGCGATCCCAACAAGTCGGTGGGCATACCCAACTATAAGCGCGAAAGGCTTGAGGCTGTTAAAATTGTAAATGGTTTCATGGAAGAGCAGCTCGACGAAGAGGAGCTGGCGGCGCTAGGCTCTAAGGCCGCAGAACCAGAGCCTGAAAAACCAAAACGCGGGCATGTCGTCCAAGACCTAGAACAGATGGCAATTGATCGAAGAGCCGATCCAGAGTTCAGGTAAGCAAATTTAATATCTATTATTAGTTATTATGCTTCATAAATACCATGCATTTTTAGACTACCCAAGGGTGTGGTAAAGGAGCTCTCGTACTTCCTCAATAAACACAAGTTCAACTACAAGGCCATGGTAACAGATCGTCGCAATCATGGCCAATGGACGTGGAGGCAATTTCGATTGAAAATACGCAGATTCATGTCAATACCAGAACAATTCAATGAATATCTGGAGCAGAAAAAGCTTCCCACGGGCGTTAAGCCAGATTGGCCAGAATACGAGTCGGACAGTGAATGGAAATAATTATTGCTGTGACCTAGAATAGAATATAAGCATATACGGTACATATAGATGTATACAAATGTATAATTAATTTCTGATAGAAATTTCATTTCTGTGTTGATTATATTAAAGTATATTACGGAAAGTTTTGATTTAACTAAAGGGAAATGCTCACAGGAACTAACAATTTTCATTCCCATTTAAGTTTCACTACTCACAAATGGCAGATTGCCGATGACCGAATATTTAAGTTCAATTTTTGTTCAATCTGATACCTTTTAAAGTACTATAGATACTTTTTTCTACATATAACGTATTTGTGTAAAAATACTGTGAATACGTTTGAATGGGTTCTTTGAAATTATTCGTTCATTAAAATATGCTGGCTCAAGGATAGAAATTTCACCGTAATAAAACCAACGTTCGTTACACACATTAAAAAGTGAACAGCTGACCGCCACGAACAGCTAACGGCAACTCAAGTGTTCTTCTTCTTGCTAGCGTTATCAAAAATACATTGGCTTGTCAATCACTGTTGACTTTTAAAATTACCCGCAATTCTCAATTTTGTCATCCCATGTCTATCCCTTGCCCCAGTTGGTGGCTACTCTGTCAGCCATTCGGCGTTGCATCATCGTGCATCGGCTCGGATCGTCTCTCGGTGTCATCGTCAACCGACTGCCTGTCTCTGACGGTTTCGGTCTTTCCGTTTTCTGGTTTCGAGGTAAGTGCACGTACAGAGAAGGTCCGTGCAGCTTTCATAAAATCCTTAAATAACGCTTAGACTAATATCCATCGATTAATTTTTTGTGTGCTTAATGACAAAAAAGTTCTCGGGCTGCTTTAAATGTTTATTATTGTTGTGTATTTCGAACTGTTTAAAGTGTGAGAGTCGGCTTAAATTTCGTGTGTTTACCGGCCGGTGTCTCGATTGTGAGGTTTTGCATAATACGTGCCTGCATACACGTTTATCTAACGGTATGCCTTTGTATACAAGCATGCGAAATTGATCGCAAAAAATAACAAATATTAATTTTTTAAATGCATAACATACATATATCTATGGATGTGTGTGAAGAAATTCTGTCTCTATATACATACATATATAATGTACAGTATACATGCATAGATATAGATATATGTATGTACATATGTATGTAAGTATGCCCAGCTCTCTGGCAAATTCCAAAATGGCGGCCGTGTCTGCAGAAGTCTGCAGTTTCCCATGTGTTTGCGTATGTGTGTGTGTGTGTGAGTGCGTGAGCTTGCTGCACAGTTATGTTGCCAAATTTAAACTGAGTTAACATAATACATACATACTTCATGCCTGTGTACGCATATTTCATCAGATTTAAGTGCTGTTAATGCACTGCAAAGAGGCTGCATTGCAAAGTATTTTTACATTTCCCTTTAAGGTTCTTCTTCTTTTCAATTTGCACTTGTGTGCAAATGCACTAACACACACTCGTGTGTAGTTAAAAATAACTAAAGAAAAAGTGCAAGTAAAAATTGTTTCTAGGCTAGAAAATAAATCACGCTAAACAGCCAGTACACACACACACACACACACACACACACGTACATATGCATGCACTTATGTTTGCATGTATGCGTGCATGTTTGTCTCCTTGTTGTTTTTGCAAGTTTATCAAAGACGACGGCGACCAACGGAAACGATGAGCACCAAGTGCAGCACGAAGCAGCAGCGGCATTTATGCCTCTGCATGCCTGTGTGCGTATGTGTGCATGTGCAGTTTTTCACCCTTTTGAATCGCGAATTTTCCGTTCAGAACACAGAAAAGAGCTCACGAATGCGGCAGCTGCCGGCGGTGAGTAAAATGTACAAATACCGTTGCAATACGTTTTCACCACCAGCATTAATTTTTACACCCTCCTCCCGCTCTTTGCCTCTTAAAATAAATTGATTTATAATTGTTGTTTAATAATTGCTACACTACAATTATAAAGCTCATTGTCAGCAGGTGTATGCATAGCTAACCTGGTTTTGTTTCTTGTGCAAGTGCCTGCCTAAAGGGTGCGGGCCGTACATTTTCCGAGTACTGCATGCTGTCGCGGAGGGGGGGGACTGTGGGGAGTGCATTCGGCAACGTCGTCATTCGGCTGGCTCGCTTTTCAGCTCCAGAGGCTCTCGTCGTTTGTCTGGGTTCATTATTGATTTTTCTTGTCGAGCATTGAGACTCGCTTGCATACTTATCGTCCAGATTTTCCGGGCCTTTACTAACGTTCAGACGTGTCGGGCGCAATTGGTAATTTGCATATGCATATAACTAAATCTTATATATTTTTGCAAAATAATACATTTGAATTGTCGTCTCTTACACTAAGCTCTATTTCCTATTAATCGACAAATGGCAAATAATTTTGTTATTCCTATTTTGCAGTGCATCGCCAATTGGAGCGCCTGTAAGCAGCAAGTTAAATTTCAAGCAATTTTCAGGTGAGTCTATAGCAAAAGAAGTTAAATTGAATGTGTGTACAGTGAAGGTACCAATATTGGACAGTTCCCTCAATCCCTGGTCTCAATCTCTTTGCTTGGCGAAGTTTTTTTTTTAATTATTCATAACATTCATAAAATGATATTTTGGATTGAGATACCATTCAAGTGGACATCTCTCCCAGCAGGACAGAAATCTCAGGACAGTAAATATCCGCTCGAAAAGCTTTCACCGTATATACACCTACACAGTTGTAGCATTTCAGTCTCTACACTGCGAACAGAGTCGCGCCCACACCCACACACCTATGTCATACATAAATACACTCACGCATGCATATACCTAGAAGCATACACACATACATATGCAAGTCCTGGATATGCTCACTCGTGTCCTTATAGCACACGCCTTTGCTTTTTCTCTCTCACTCTCTTTATTGTCACCCACTCTCCAAATTTGATTTATATATATCTCTCTCTATATATAAATATATATATATATATATGTGTGTGTGTATGTAATTTGCATTCAGGTTCTATAAAACATCTAAAAGGAAAAACAACGTATAATTCGAGCTCAGAGACCAAGGAGTCGTTGATTACATAGCGTCATGGGCAAGGAGAAGATTCATATTAACATCGTTGTTATTGGCCATGTCGATTCGGGAAAATCGACCACCACCGGCCATTTGATTTACAAATGCGGCGGCATCGATAAGCGTACAATTGAGAAGTTCGAGAAGGAGGCCCAGGAGATGGGCAAGGGCTCGTTCAAGTACGCCTGGGTGCTGGACAAGCTGAAGGCTGAGCGCGAGCGCGGCATTACCATCGATATTGCGCTCTGGAAATTCGAGACGGCTAAGTATTATGTGACCATCATTGATGCGCCCGGCCATCGAGATTTCATCAAGAACATGATTACCGGCACCTCGCAAGCCGATTGTGCTGTGCTAATTGTTGCCGCTGGCACCGGCGAGTTTGAGGCCGGCATCTCAAAGAATGGCCAGACGCGTGAGCATGCGCTGTTGGCCTTTACGCTGGGCGTCAAGCAGCTAATTGTGGGCGTTAACAAGATGGATTCCACGGAGCCGCCGTACAGCGAGGCACGCTACGAAGAGATTAAAAAGGAGGTCTCCTCGTACATCAAGAAGATCGGCTATAATCCGGCGTCAGTCGCTTTTGTGCCCATTTCCGGCTGGCATGGCGACAACATGCTCGAGCCATCCGAGAAGATGCCGTGGTTCAAGGGTTGGACCGTCGAACGCAAAGAGGGCAAAACGGAGGGCAAGTGCTTGATTGATGCGCTGGACGCGATTATGCCGCCCCAGCGGCCCACTGACAAGCCGTTGCGTCTGCCTCTGCAGGATGTCTACAAGATTGGTGGCATCGGCACAGTCCCAGTCGGCCGTGTGGAGACGGGTATTCTCAAGCCAGGTATGTTCACACTTCAGCTATGAGTAGCTCTGTTGCTACTTACAAATTCCCCATCTTTCGTTATAGGCATGGTGGTAAATTTCGCTCCCGTTAATTTGGTCACTGAGGTCAAGTCCGTTGAGATGCATCACGAGGCACTGACCGAGGCCTTGCCAGGCGACAATGTGGGCTTCAATGTAAAGAACGTTTCGGTAAAGGAGTTGCGTCGCGGCTACGTAGCCGGAGATTCGAAGAACAATCCTCCACGTGGTGCTGCCGATTTTACTGCTCAAGTGCGTTAGATTAAAATATAAAAGTTAATCGCTTTAATGGTATTCTAAATGTTTTGGTTTTTAATAGGTTATTGTTCTCAATCATCCTGGGCAAATTGCTAATGGGTATACCCCTGTGCTGGACTGCCATACGGCACATATTGCTTGCAAGTTTGCCGAGATCAAGGAGAAGTGCGATCGCCGTACTGGCAAGACCACCGAGACCGAACCGAAGGCCATCAAATCGGGCGATGCGGCCATCATAGTGTTGGTTCCGTCCAAGCCTCTATGCGTTGAAAGCTTCCAAGAATTTCCGCCGCTGGGTCGGTTTGCAGTGCGCGATATGCGTCAGACTGTGGCGGTCGGTGTCATCAAGTCGGTGAACTTTAAAGAAACGACCTCGGGCAAAGTAACAAAAGCAGCTGAGAAGGCGCAGAAGAAGAAATAACTAGGGTGTCTGCAGACTTGTAATTCAAATAACAACAAAAACAACAACACTCAAACACTCGAACAACAAATGGCAAGAGCAACAACACACTTAAAATTTATAGTATCTATTAATCATAGACGATCAAAACCGAATCAGGGGCTAAACACAAAGTCCGTGGCGTATCAATCACCATCATTAACTACAACTATTTACTGCTGCATTCAAATATTATATAAACTTGAGGAAATATTACAATTTATTATAAACACACATACAATTGGCGAGGGTATATGTACGCCAACAATAATGGGTCGACCTCTAGGCACATCAACCATCCACCTCACGCCAGCTGTGCATGATGACGGCGAGGAGGCGCCTGGACACATTGGTCGTCTGGAATCATTCCCGCATGCGTACTCAAAATCGGTCGCCATTATATTCATAATCATTATCTACTATAACTATCTAAACTTGTTTCGCCACCGCAAATCGTTTCGCAGGAAACAGTCTCGCATTGAACATAATCAGAATATAATCGCCACAGGAGTTTGCTGCTAGCCCAGCCCGTCACTGCGACCCCACTTGTCTCTCATTTATCCATCACTAAACATAATTTTAAAGCATTAATCATTATTTCAATCAAAAGATTTTAAACACTTTTTATACTTTTGATAAGTCAGTCGGAGGCATTCGATTTAAAATCTATATTATATAAAGCAATTTCAGAATTTAGTTATAAACCACTCTGCAACTAATAACAATACTTAAAAAAAAACCAAGACTACATTCGCAATGAATTCAAAATTTATCCCAAAAAAGAAAAAAAAAAAAAGACAAATGCTTAAGAAGTATTATAAAAATATTCATAAAACATAATCATGCGGTTTTGTAAACATTCTAAATGTTCTATCGGGTCTCATTGGCATTTCCATACTTTAACCAAATGTTTCTCATAAACGATTTACCACATAACAAAACATTACATAGTGCATTCATTGTCATTACTATGAAACTTATTAATGTAGCCCACAACAGAAAACCATTCATGGATACAGAAAACGTTGCTTAATAAACAAACAAAAATGATCTTTTAATGTATTAATTGACAAAATAAAAATAAAGAATGCTTAACCGTAATAAATACACACAATGTAATGGTTGTTTCAATTGACAGGTTCTAGCTTTTTTTGTACGCTGTTAGCAAAGTGAAAAATTGATTGGTCGAGCCCACGGACCGCTTATAATCTTTTAGTTACCAAATTAAAAAAGCTATAACCTGGATCTACTTTTAACAGTAAACTATTTGAATTTAACATTCGAACTGCCGCTCGTTTGATACGTAACATTTTTTTCCAGAACGTTAACTATTGTGAATGGCCATAAGGTAAGCTGGAAAGAGTGGCAACGCTGCAAGCTGACTCACAGGCGGCATTTCTAAACAATACAACAAGAAAGCTCAGCCGGCTGTGCAGAAATTGGCTACAAATTTATAAAATAATTTAAAAACGTCAATTAATATTGACATCTAAAGATTGTTTAGAGGTGTACAAGTAATAATAAACCAATAAAATTACAGAAATGGCAGATCCACGTATTAGGCAGCTGGTTATTAAAACGGGTGTTGTGAAGCGCCTGGCCAAGGAGAAGACAGTTTATGAGAAGGAGATAAACACAGAGCTGGCTCGTCTGGATAAATTCAAAAATGAAGGCGCCGATGATCATGTGCTGCGCAAACAGGAAGAGGTGATACAGGAGTGCCAAATGATGATACCAGACTCAAAGCGCAGGTGAGTCATCATTTAATGATATCAATTTGCGGGCAACAATAATGGTGTGATTTTTTACAGATTGCAAAAGGAGTTCGAAGTGCTGCAAAAATATTTACAGGATGAACTGGATCTCAAAGAAACGGAGGCCTACACAAAAGCTTCTGAGGTGCTAGTAGAAGCCGAATCTGCGCTAAAATCGTAGGCTGTCAGCTGATTCTATGCAGCCACATAATAATCTTACTCTTCCCTGTTAAAATTCAATACAAGCACGCCACTCTTAATAAAACTATTTGCAACGTTAACCAACACTTATATGTAGATAAAATGCCGCAAGTCCACAAACTAAGCGAAATAAAGACAGATATTAGTAGTGTCATAGCAAATTTACAGTTATTGGAAGGTTTGAGCAATGCGTCAACAGATGACTTGGATTTGAATAAGACTCGCCAGTTGAAGTGGCAGACCACGAATTTGCTAGAGAAACTGAAGGAGTTGCCGTGTGACCGCATTGCACGCATTCAACTCCAACGTAAACAAAGACGGCAACGGGCCAAAAAAAGGGCCAAGTTGCAATGGAGCGTAAAAAGGAATACTCCAGAAAATGCCAAGGATAAAGCGCTATCTTCCGAGTTAAATGTAGCAGCTGCAGCACATTTGCCGGTTCAGAAGCAAGCGGAACACATCACACTCAAAAAACAGCACGATGCCACAAATATGTTGCACACATTTGACTTGCTGGAAAAACTGTACAAGGCTCGCGGTGGCAACAAAGACTTGGCTGAAAAACTGTCCAGAATGCGCACAGTTTGGCGAAGTGTGCTGCAGGAGTGTACCGATGAAATCAATAAAGAAGCCACTACCAACTGCGGGGCGCAGTGGGCCGGAGTTATATTTGGAAGCTCTTCGGTGCCTTTAAGGCAAGGGAATACGGACAAAAAGCGATATACACAAGAATTGATACAGCGGCGGTAAGTTTAATGGGAATTTAAAGTGGTCGAATTAACTAACACGTCTTTTGCCATATAGAATCATTTGGGACTCCTATATAAGTTACGGCAAGAGCGGCAGCAGCATACCCAACGGTTGGGTATTGCCAACCGATATGCCCACTGCAGAGTGGGCCCGATATAAATGTGAATAAAACACACGTATGTATGTATATATAAGGTGGAATTTTTATTCTTTAGAAGAATCGCTGTTAGACTTATGTGAGTGGCGTACAGATTCATGCACTTGCATGCTGAATCTATTCGTAAATCCAGTCCTTGGCGGCTGGAGCCCAGCTGACAAGCTCCTTCTCATTGAACCACAGAGCAATCTCCTTTTCGGCGGACTCAACAGCGTCAGAGCCATGAATGATGTTGCGGCCAACCTGGATGCAGAAGTCACCACGGATGGTGCCAGGCAGGGAATCAGCTGGGTTGGTAGCGCCCAACATTTGACGGCCGGTCTTGACCACATTTAAGCCCTCCCACACCATGGGAACCACTGGACCGGAGTTCATGTAGTTGACCAAACCGGGGAAGAAGGGGCGGCTAGACAGATCAGCATAGTGCTTCTCCAACAAGTCCTTTTGAGCCTGCAATTAAATATGTAATTCTATCATTTTCATGACCTCTAAAACCAGATGTATGCATACATATATATAACCTCAACCGGTCATTTATAATGTAAGCAAGGGCGACCCCATGCCATGTTGAGGTTAAACACGACAATTGCACACGCGTACTTATTGATTTCTTAATTCAATTATGTGGCCGGCTTTACTCACCCAGACGAACTTCATTGCTACCAATTTGAAGCCCTTTTGCTCAAAACGCTCGATGATCTTGCCGACGAGTCCTCTTTGGACTCCATCGGGCTTAACCATGATGAAAGTGCGTTCCTTGTTGGCGGCCATTGCGAATGAGAATAGGGAATAAAATGCCAAGAGAGAAGCAATCATCAGCGTTGAGTTTTTTATTTAAGTAGTATGACCATATTGAAAAACTGTCAAAATACCTAATGTGCAGTGCAAAACTACCAGAACAATATAACAATAATATTATTTTATTCAATAATATGATTTTATCCAATTTGATTAAAAGATCTGAATAAGAAGATATTTAAGAATTACACTTAAAGGGTTTTATATTCTTGGTATTTTAGTATTTTCAATAGTATTTTCCACTAAATATCCTTACCAACTAATATTTTTATACCTTGAATTAATTTAATTTTACGCCCTTTATTTTATAACGTCGCTAACTGACTGATGCTAAATTGACGCATGCTCGTTTATTTACAATGTTACATATTTATTATGAATAGCCATCCTAAACTTTAATAAAGTAAAAATACATATTAAAACAAAAGTAACAGGTAGAGAGACAAGGTTGCCATATTGTGCGGATTAATAAAACCCGTTTTAGCCCCTAATGAAATGCTACAGATATTAGGCACTTTTTATTTGATTCAATATATAACCGCTGTAAATATAAAGAGCTGGCAAACGTTATATTTATTTAACAATAAACAGCTACCACCTAGAATATTCAAAAATGAATTCGCAAATTCAAGTTAATCGATATAAGTATACTGTGTGCATCCCTGCTTGCGTTTCTTGTGAGTGGCATCGGTGCCACATACACTCACATACGCAAGCATAATATATTATTTGTGTTAAAAGTGATTGCAGAAAGAAGTGTAGCAACGTATTTCAATTTGTGTGGCAGCGTTTGCAATCGTTATTTGCAAACAACTTCAGTAACTCATAAATGCATCGCCAAGCAAGCGAAACGCACAATCGCATGAAATTCTAATAGGACAATAGCGTCAGTGCAAGAAAAGGCACTGGCACGGGCCTTTTTTTTGGCGCAGTGCTGCGGGATATGACGGCGCGGGCACATCAGGATGAGCGCATCTGCTCGGGGGGTATGGTCGAGGACGAAGCAATTGCCGCCACCTACCACAATTTGCCACCACACAGTCCGGACTATGCCAATTTTCTGGCACATCAGCAACAGCAACAACAACAACAGCAGCAGCAACAACAACAGCAACAACAACAACAACAACAACATTTGTTGCATCAACAGCAACAGGGCCAGGCGCAGGGGCCCTTGATGTGGCCGCCACACATGGGTGTACAATTTCCCCCACATCACCCCCACCCACCACATCATCATCAGCCACCTATGATACCACAACCACAGCAAGCTCCATCTGCACACGTCTATAATGAATATCTGTACAACTTGGCATACTCCGGACCACCTGGTCAAACCGAAACGTACTCCGTGTTGCCTGTTGGGCATGGCAATTTTCTTAAGGTTTATCACTGTCCAGAGAATGCCGTCAACGATGTTTACGCTCAGCAAGCGGCGGCCAATTTCTCGCATATCAACATGGCACCAATGAACCAGCATCAACATCACCAAGTTGCGGCCACGGCTGCACAGAACCAGGCACAGGCGCAGCCGTCAGCTGCGCAGCAGACGCCACTTTATGAATTGTTTGCCACCAATCCGTTACTGCCAAAGCCCGAGATGAATATTGTAATCCAACAGCAACAGCAACAACAGCAACAGCAACAACAGCAACAACAGCAGCAACAACAGCAGCAACAGCAACAACAGCAGCAACAGCAACAACAACAGCAGACACCACAATTCCATCAGGTTGATGATGTTCCCGCGGCAGTCTCTACGGCTGTTGCACCGAGCAATAGCGCTAATTTGTTTATCAATAATCTTGTAAATAACTGGTCGCCAAATCTAACGGGTAGCAGTTATATACAGTTTGGTGGCGAGCCACCCGAAAATGCTAATGCATATGTTGAATCCACGCCCATAGAATCGACAAAATCGCCAACACAGCCGACTTCACCTGTGAAGTTACAGCAGCTGCAGCCCATAGCTGAGTATCATGCTAAGGTCGTTCCGCCCAAAAGCGTGGAAATAGCTCCTGGTAGCTCTGGCAACAAAGAAGTCAACCCGAATCCAACTTTAAGCACTACAACAACAATTACAAGTGCGGCAGCAGCAGCAGCTGCAGCAGCAGCAACAGCAACCGCAACACCCGCTGCCCTGAAGAAAGCGACAATAGTCGTGCCAGGCTTGAACGAGGGCAAAAGACGCATTGTAGCCGAAGTAAAACCCATGCCCATGTCCTATTCAGATGTTTTGAGCAAGGGCAGCACATTGCGTAGCTCGGGCACAATGCTTGCCAGGAGCAATGCGGGTATTGAAGCGCGTTCAGTCAACAACTTGGAGAATGGGCATCCAACGCAGCGACGAGGAGGCAAGGAAGATGGCAATGGCAACGGTAACCGGGAGCTGCGCAATAATTCCAAGCGCTCGCCATTACACGAAATCAAGGATGGGTCCGGCAATGCTACAGGACATCGCAGCAAGAGGCGTCAGGGAGCACAGCAAAAACCACAACAAGCGGTAAATCCAAAGGCACAATTTAAACATTATAACTAGGATAGTTTTTACTTATACTGGTGGACATAAGCTGGCTTTAACAGCAACTTTGACTGTAGCAAACCCTTTTCCACCTATTTCCCTGCCATATTGAGGTAGCTCTTGATTGCGGCATCAATTATCCAAAAGTTTTAACATAAATTACTGTGGGTTATTCTCCAGTCAGTTGATTTATAATGCGATGTAACCAGATATTCATGATTATAGTTATTTAATTGACTTTTCTGTTAAATTTGATTCTTCGCTAGCCAATACAACATCAGCAGCAACAACAACAACAACAACAGCAACAGCAGCAACAACAACAACAACAACAACAACAACAGCAGCAGCAGCAACAACAACAACAGCAACAACAACCACCGCCACAGCAACAGCAACAGTCGCAACCTGCGCTGAGGTCTGGTAAACCGAATACCGAAAAGAAGCGTCCTGGCCAAATGAAATTTATTAACAACACGAGCAGCAACAACCAAAGTGGATTCAGCGCCAAAGCCAACGACAACAAGGCAACTAATAACAACAGCGGCAACACCGTTAGTAGCAACAGCAGCTTACCCAGCAGCAGCAATAACAATTTATCGAGCCGGAAGTCAAACAACGCCAGCAACAACAATCGCAGCAGCAGCATCAACAATAGCGGCTCGCATGCAAATTTCTCGAACGCCAATTCGAATAATTCCAATAATTCATCTGGCTCGAGCAACAGCAACAGCCACCACAACAACATCAGCAATAGCAACAGCAACAACAATGGCAATTCCTCATCATCGAAACGCTATTCCGGCTCATCGAATGCGAATTTAAATTCCAATTCTAGCTCGTACTCGTATTCCTCGAAGCGCAATCGGGGTGGCGCATATGGGTCATCCAATTCGCCAGCGCATGCGAGCGCCTCGAATCGCAATTATGAGCTAGCCAAGCGCATTCTGCACACCTGGTGGATATACACGCTCAAGCTGATCACCTGGCTCTTCTATTTGGTCTATGATATTGTTGTGCTCGGTTGCAGCATGGCGTACGAGCGGCTGACCACAGCGTATGTAGCAGGCGTGGCTTATGCACGCCAGCTGCACAAGGAACTGAAGCAGAATTCCGGCAAGCCGAGCATCTGGTGGCGCAACTATTGGCGTCGCTTTGATGCACGCTTTAGAAAAAATTCACGTTGGGCATTTTGGCGTCGCTTCTACAAGCGCAAGCCGCCTGAGGCCAGCGCGGAGGCATTTAAAACTGGTCGCTTGCCACAGACTGGCGAAGAGGCCATGTACTCGCTGCTAAACTGCAAGGGCAAGGATGCCTACAGGTATGTACTCTTAGGACATCTTCAAAAAAAAATACATATTTAACTAACTGAAATATTTCATTGCAGCATATTGGGCGTGCCGCCGGATAGTCCACAGGAGCAAATACGTAAACACTATAAGAAAATCGCCGTGCTGGTGCATCCGGATAAAAACAAGCAGGCCGGCGCCGAAGAGGCATTCAAGGTGCTGCAGCGTGCATTTGAATTGATTGGCGAACCGGTAAGTTAAACAAACAGCTTCTTAGATAACATGCAGTATTCATTTGCATAAATTCCTTACAGGAAAATCGTCTTGCCTATGACCAAAGCATTGCCGAGGCATTGCACGCGGAGAAGGCGTGGACGGAGCTGCACGATTTGCTATCGCAACTGCAAACCAAAATGACCGAGGCGGCCAATACTATAAGGTAAGCGACACAAGCAGCTACAAAAGGCTGATTATGATTAAAACCATTTTCGCTATCACCCATAGATGTAGCACATGTGCGCAGCGCCATCCTCGCAAGCTAACTGAACGTCCTCATTATGCGGCGCGCGAATGCGCCTCCTGTAAGATACGGCACTCGGCCAAGGATGTGAGTAGTAGCTCCTCCACACTCGGTATTAATATTAACACCTGTATTTCTTTTGGCAGGGCGACATATGGGCGGAGACGAGCATGCTGGGTCTCCGCTGGAAATATTTGGCGTTAATGGATGGCAAGGTCTATGACATAACCGAATGGGCCAACTGTCAGAAGGGTGCGCTCTCGCATCTAGAGCCCAATTCGCACATGGTACAGTATCGCATTGTGCGCGGCGCTCAGCAGCAACAGCAGCAGCAGCAACAACAACAGCAGCAGCAGCAACAACAGCAGCAGCAGCAGCAGCAACATCCACACCAGCAGCAACCACAGTCGCATGCACATCATCCGGGCGGCCCAGCCAGTGGTGTCAGGTAAGAGATCCGGACTAAATTAATCAGAATTAGCTATTTAATATTTGTCCATTCGCAGTGAGGCCACGTTGCATGAGTTTCTGGATAATCTGTATAGCGGGCAGCATCCGGGCGCGTCCAATGCCACGCCCTTCGCCGGTAATGCACGTCGTCGCACTCGTCGCAACTGAAATTGTTTTGTGGCATAGACATAAGTGTTTTTAAAATCTCCAATCTGCAGTTCAACACTAATAAGCATGGCGCCGTTGGCTGCTTACTCACGTAGATAAACTCTAATAGGCCAACATCAGCGCAACCATCTCCCGTTTTTCAAACACACACACACTTAACTAGACCACAATCGAAACAGATTCAGTTTTATAATAACACTTCTTTCCATAAGTACAATGACTACCAATTGCTGTTAATAATTTTTATTTTGAGAATTTTTGTTTTTAATGGTCTTGCATAAGTCTAAGGGCATTACGATTGCCCATCCATCACTTAAGTAGTTGACATCTGTGTTCTACATTTTACTTTTTGCCTACTGCTTAGGGACAGCTTAACCCGCTTAGCTCATAGCAAACAAGCCTAGTTTTAAGTTAAAATTATAGACCGCAGCCGGATTGTACGCCACGCAGCACGGCGTATAATGCGGGAATATGTAAAATCTAACACATCCGAATTATAAATGTTAATAAAAATCATATAGAGACCCTAACGAGTTGATTGTTTCACCTATAACTGTATTTTATGCCCCGAAAATTGGGTAAAACGCATCAGCTGGAATTAGTTTGTTGTCATTTGGTTAAATATATTGAGCTATAAAAAAAAGGTTGAGAGCTTAAAATTTAAATGAAGTGAGATTAAAACCCAATTCCATAGACAAAGTTTGAATTTGCATAAGCGTATTTTTTTTAGTGTTTTATTGAAAAAATGCTCCACTCCGTTTCTGCCTAATTTTCTACACATAATTTTTGTTTCTCATATTTTTTTTTGTCTCTGTATAATAATAATAATTACAATACATACATAGTGTTGTTTACATACTGCTCCAGCTCCACAAAAATGGCTACTACGCATACAAAACGTATTGCAATTGAATACCTATAGAACCTAGAGTGTGGGACTTAAAGTCTATTTGTTCTTTTATTATATTTACTTTTTTTTTATGCGTTTAACAATGTTGCTTTTGTTATCAATGCTCGAAGTTTTCAGATGGTTTTTTTTTCTTATGTGTGTTTGTTGATTTTGTAAGTTGTTGCATGCAACGTTATCAAATAGCTAAAGTTGCATACTTTATAATTTTCCAGTTTAGTGGCATAATTTATTTTTAATAAATTAATTAAACATGTGGGTAGGGTTTGTTTTTGTTTTTTGTTTATTTGTGGTCGTTTATGATTAAAACGAAGCACAAATTTGTTGGTATTTGTAGTATTTGTTGCTTGACTTAAATATTTGTGACTGTTTTTTTTTCTTTTTGCTTGACTTTGTTTAAATTCCTCAACAATTATTGCGACTAATATTAAATTACATACATTTTATTTTAATATATTTTTTTTTTTGCTTTATACATTTACAAAACTTGCTTGACTTACGCAGAACCAACTAAATATTTTCCATTTACTTTATTTATATATGTATAAGTTTATATATATATATATATATAAGTATGTATATAAATTAAATTCTATGCTTAAATACATAGATTAATTCCATGCTCACACACAATTCAGTTAAATAAGCATTAGGCTCAATTTATAAATTGTATTGTTTTTTTGATTTTTTGTTTTTGTGTTTGTTTTTGTTTTTTTTTTTCTATACAAAGCTTTGTACAACTAAAGTAGTTAAAAAAAGAAAAAAGCAACAAAAATGTATTTTATTTATATGGATGCTACAAACATGCGCACATACGACATATACATACATACATACATACATAAAAATATGTGTGCAGCAGATTGTATGCAATATATGCGATGGCTCGCTGTAAAAACAAGCATCATTATTATGCATTATTATTATTACTATTATTAATTTCTGTAATAATAATTAGTACCAATAACAATATGCCCCTTATTGTTTCACTTCCATTCTCACTAAAAGTTATTTCAATGTCAATACAATATCCGAATCATGTATGTATATATATATGCTTATGTTGATGTAAATGAATGCCGTTTGTTGAGTGTGTGTGGGTGTGTGTAGGTGTGTGTAGGTGTGCGTGTGTGTGTGTATGTGCTTATGACTGTTGGAGCATATGATGGTGCTCCTGGCGCTTGCTGTGCTTTCCGCTACCATCCTAAGCTCTATGTTGGCGCCGACCCGCATTATCCCGATATTATTTTTGTGTCTTCCGGTGTGTCAGCTCCTGTGCCACATCGTCCAGCAGCTTGGTGGCATAGCCACCGCTGCCATTGCCAAAGCCATTTGCCAGCAGGATACCGTTCGTTTTGTGCGCACTGCCATTGGCCACGGCCGCCGCATTGCCATTGGGCAGAGGCTTGTAGCCGTTCTTCAGGCCATTCGCATGCCCGTTGCTGAGCGTCGCATTGCCATTGCCATTGGCCTTGGCCGTCGACGTCGTCGTCGTCTGGGCCGCCGGCTGTGGCATGAACAGATCGTCGTGGGCATTGATGCTCTTGCAGTAGCCATTTGGCTTGGCGTGTCCGTTGGCCAGCAGCGCGTTCTTCTTCTGCAAATGTGTGTGTGAAAAAGAGGTTTAGTTGTGGGCATTCGGGGCGTATGAGATATATTGCGCATGCGACACGCGTTCGCATTTTTTGTAAATTTTATTATATATGCGCGTATATGTGTGTGTGTGTGTGTATGTGTGTGTGTGTGTGTGTGTGTGCCCCACAAAAAGCAAGAAACGCACATTATGCAATCAGCTGAGATGCCTTGTCAGCGTTTGTTTATTATTTTTATTTTTATTTATTTTTGTTTTCTTTTTTGCCTTTTCATTTGTATTTCGCCTCTTTTCAATTCAACTTTCACTTGCGCACCGCTCAATGGATGCTGTGGGTCGCCGCCGTCGCCGTCGCAGTCGCAGTCGCGGTCGACGTCGATGTTGGCCTCATGAATGTGAACGATCATTAAACGACGTCATTTTGGCGCTTTTGTGTCGGACAAAGCGGACTTCGTAAACCCAGTTCCCCGAGACCCACTTGACGAAATTTCGTTAATGAATTTAGACCACAGTTATATGTTTGCAATAGGCCGCCCCGTCCGTCTCCCCCTCCCCATCCTCCTATCTGGAGGGTCTATCTGGCAGGTGCAGACATCGGCCGTAACCATGGACCGAACATGCCTATGATATAAGACTTCGCTGGGTTTTCGTTTTCATTAACTCACAATCCGGCATCTGGGATGCGAACGCATTTTATGTTTGTCATTTCATGGCTTTAAATGGCTTTGAGCCAACGTGGGAAGTCATGGACTAGGCCCGAGCTTTTTTTTCTTTTCTTTTAAATGGTTGATAATTATCATAATAGGCGACGTGAGATGCGGTTGCACCTCAAAAGTTGTCTCATTTCCGGACTTGCGGCATTTTAGAAAAGGTTTTCGTGTGTGTGTGTGTGTGTGGGGCACTGGGGCACTTACCATTAGACGGTTTTTGTAGGCTGCCTTGTAGAACTCATTGAACAGGAAAAAGAACATCACAGCGTGCATTCCGATCCACCAGACGAAGGCCTTCGGGTAATTGCAGTCAATGAAGAGCAATTGGAAGGCGTGCACCATGATGAGAATGAACTGAACCTGTTGCAGTAAGAAGAGGGAAGTGGGAAGAGGCGGTGATTAATCAAATGAAATATATTTAAAAATAGATAATCAAATACATAACATATTACGCTCTAAGCCAAACTTTAGTTAAATATAAATTGCGTTAATATGCCAAGATATATTCTATCCAGAAGTTAAAATAAATATTTGATTGTATCTCAGTTTCTCTTCCAATAACTATCTAACTTTGAAAAGCCATTTAAGAAACACCTCTCAGTTAAGTACGCTCCTTCTAGTTATCGATTCGGTTTGAACAGCGTAGTGTATGAGGAGCTTACCATTTGGAGCGTTGTCAGGTACTTCTTCCACCAGAGGTACTTTTGGTATTGTGGACCCATGGCCGAGAACATGTAGTACGTGTACATCACAATGTGCACGAATGTATTGAGCAGGCCAAAGAAGGTGCTGTGGCCACCTAAATGCAGGCATAGACATATATTATAGGGTATCTGACGGTCGTTTAGCCGTGCCTGGTTAACGCACCTGGAGTGAATTTGACGCCGAACCACACGGACATGGGCATGCAGCCGTGATGTATGACATGCAGTGTAGTCACCTGGCTCGTCTTCTTGCGCAGCACGAAGAAAATCTGTAAGGGTATCGCGTGTGTGGGTGCCAAGGCAATTAACTGACAGATATGGTCACACTTACCGTATCCATGAACTCTGTGAACTTTGAGAAGTAATACCACCAGCACGCATGAACCATCTGATTTGATGAGTGGGCAGGCGACAGCGACGCGAAGAAGAGATGAAATATTCGATTAGCTCGGCTTGTTTTTGAGGATGGCAAATAAATGTTCGACACACACACACACACGCACTTCTGGATACCCTAACTGAGCAGCACTTCAGCTTTTGAGCATTTCAGATCAGTTTCAGGCGATATTCGTGCCGTCAATTAGGGTATACATTAAGCGCGGCGCTGCCGTCGCTTCTGTTTCATTCGCACGCTCAATTTGTGGAGTCAATTTATGTTTTTATTGTTATTAAATTATAATCAAATTATTTTTGTAATTCAATTCAATTGAAACATTCATGCACACGCTTCGGTTCCAGTTCAATCAAAACTTTAACTAGAAGTATATTATTTTTCAAAATGCAGCAGATAGTCCAAGAAGATATAGTATAGAATGGGGAAACACATTCAATTAATTGATTAACGGTTTTGAAATTTGAAATATCATAGTCCTGGCCATTTATAAAATAGAGTTTAATGCATATTCCGGGGTACAAAGGGTTTATAAGAGTTTAAAGAGAGTTGTTTACAGTTCCCACATGGTTGGGTAGGGGTGTTCACTGTTGGGCGGGAAAGGGGCCCCAGAGTTTTCTATATTCTGTAAGAGATAACGACAATACGACAAGACTTGTCTCATTTCTCGGTTTAGTGACATTTGAAGGACATTTAAGTGCTGACAGTTATGCGTTACGGCATACACATGCTGCGACCTGGGTTAGGATCTGTTATTGTTTTTATTGGGGGAGGGGGGACGGGGGGGTTAGCATTAGTTGTTCTTATGTAGTAGATAGTTATTGCTTATGTGTATGAGTGTATAGGTGCTACCTTAACTCTTGTGAAACCCACAACTGTTAACCCGGATTGAGTACATGTGTATGTAAGGTAAGTATCGAGGTATTTATTTGTACATTATATAATAAGCCCAGAACCAATATTCAGGTACAAAAGCACACCTCATGCACACGGGCGCACACACACACACACAGACCAGAGCACAGCACCAATACGTTATCAATAGCTTATCGTTATCAGTAGAGGCTAATCAATATCGTTATTTAACGGCTCGTTGTCAGTTTAACACATACCCTTAACGTTCTAGGATTATTACTATAGTCAACTGGCTGACATCGGAAGCTATAATGTCCAGTTAGCCAACCGGAAACTCCTATCTGCAAATGTAGAGTGTGTAAAATGTGTGTGTGTTTGTTTTGTTTTGGTTTTTTATTTATCGAATTTTGGTTATTTTTTGATATTGATTTTGATTTCGATTTCGATTTTGTGGCGTGAGTTGTGAAATGATTTATGTTTTTTTTTTTGTTTTTTGAGTTTTAGGCTGGCATCGGCTTGCGTTGGCGTTCGGTTTCAGCTGCTTCCAGTTTGCGGGCTGTAAAGAATTAGGCATGGCAGACACACACACGGGCACACACATACAGACACACATTGATATTGATATTTAGCCAACTGCACACACACAGATACACACACACACACGTACATATACATTTTGGCCGGGTTAGTAGACAGCGTTTAAATGGTATTAATTAATAAAGCATCAAATAGTTGTAAGCGATATTTTTCATTGTTTTTTTTTCGTTTTGTTTTTTGCACAAATTAATTACCAATTGTTTTCTAGCATTTATATACAAAACATATGATGTATATAGAATATATATATTTAATATATATATATCTTAAGCGATATTTTCAGGGCAGTTCTATGTCTAATTAGAAACCAGCTACACATTTGCTCGCCTCGTGTAGTATTTTTTATGTGGCGCATTTATTAATTGATAAAAAGCTAAATATGATTACAAAAATAAAAAAAATCAAAAGAAAATAATAATATACATATTGAAAATCATGTAAAGCAATGCTGGTTAATCTTAAATATTTATATGGCTGTGCCTCAAGCGTTTGCATATACATAAGCTAAAATATTAATTCCAAAATATATATATATTATATATATATATATATGTATTTATTTATATGAATGCCTAGTTGTATGCGCATAACTGCGTTCTGCGGAGAAAATCTATAAATCAGGGTCTGCTAAATGGGCGCGAATTTCCCTAGGCTTTTCACTTTCACTTTCACGCTTCAAGAGCTAAGCGCGTTCCTGCTGCACACAGTCAAATAGGTTTTATTGGCATTTAAAGACGAGACACTTACTCTCCTAGATGTGGCACTATCGCTATAGTCCACAGGCTGACAGCGGAAGCTGTACGAACCCCACCAGCCGCCCATTAAACACTAAAAACGAAATCAGATTAATGCCAAAGAAAATGAGATAGAGAGAACGTAAGAAAAACATAAAATAAAGTGCACATTAAAAGCAGCAGCAGTTGCCAATTGCCTTAAGGCAGTTGCCTATTGGCAGTAGCAGTTGGCAGTAGAAGTTGGCAGTTGGCAGTTCCCAGCAGCAAGTTGTTTGCCTTTAAACGCTTTTCCAGGTCAGTTAAGCAAGCAGCCAAAACGACGACGCCAGCGATGTTGTTGTTGTTGTTGATGGATATTGTGGTTGGTGTTGTTCTTGTTGTTGTTGTTGTTGTTGTTGTTGTTGTTGATGTTGATGGTCGTGTTATTTGGTTTGGTGTGAGTGCCACTTACCTCATAGAAGAGCCACGCGCTAAATACAACCTGTAACGCATTATAGACGACCAGCATGTTCTGTAGATGTAAAGGCTTTCGATTCTCCATTAATCGCGGCCCAAGCACCTGTTAATGAAAACAAGAGAATATCGCTTAATGATTATGTCATAGTGATGTACAACAAAGTCAGTTGCTTTCGGAGAAGCCGAAGATGTAATGCTCTTTGACTGATTTTCACTGTTTCCTTACTTAACCACACTAAGGTGTTCTTTTCCTTAAACAAAAACTCAATATCTGATAGTTGTTGCTTTAAAAGCTATATAGTTTGATGGGTCCGATTCTGATGAGAAACTTTGCTGCAAATGGTTTGAATATTTAACAATAAGAAATATGTTTGACCAATTGTTTTCATAGGCGCTTTATGATTAAGTCGTTCGTTATGGACATGATTTTGCTTCAGCATTGCAAAGGAGCATAGTAGGAATATTCCTAGTAAGATATAAGATGCATGCCTACAATCCGTTTGGGCCTAGTCTGAGCCGAGTTTGAATAAGTTCTTTATATTATTTATATTTATGCTTTATGGTATCTCATTCAAGGCGTGACATCCGCTGTCTGTTTATATAGATACTCTGTTTTCTACGCTTTGAATGTGATCCCAACTAGCGTAAATATATACTCTCAAAAACATGTTAAGTATGGACATCCTCAGTCTGTTTATATAAAATACCTGTTTGTCCATAATTATTTTTAGGGCTCGTTTGCCCTATAAGGAATTTGGCTTTAACTTATCCAATTGAGTCGATGCTTCTCTAGTTATTACGCATTTGCCTGAGAATTTCCACAAACTTAAGTCCTAATTTATCGTCGAATAATACTCCTGGAATTTTGCTCATGCTTGACTCACTGTGCTGTCTGTTTCTTATCAACGCTCTGATTAGGTTGGTCTATTATAAAAACGCCTTATGACTAGAAATTCATATGTGTGTGCGTTTGAGTGTGAGTAAGCCATAAATAAAGCTTGCTCAAACAAAAAAAAAAAAAAAACACACAAAACTGTGGACGCTATCAGTGGATACGCCCACGTTGTGCGTTTTCCGCATGGGAATAGCACTTGAGATTAAGACGTAGACGCAGCTGGTCTTGTTGATATGACCTAAATCTGTGTATTAGGTGGCTAACCATATGGTCAAATCGAGAGGCCATAAAACAAACACGTGTTCCGCAGAGTGGGCGACTTACCTTAACCAGGTAGACGTATGTGAGGCACACGGCGAGTGTGGGGAAGGGTGACGACATCATGGGCCAGTCCTTAGTCCTTGAATCTGTGCAATTAGAAATGGGGCAAGAGTTACAAAACAATATTACATATATTTATAATGTATTAGTAGAAACTAAACGCGAATCAAGAGTAAAACCTGGCTACACGCATCAAAACAAAGCACAAGGCATATGTTTGAATACTGAAGCATTGTTTTTGTGGTTGTTGTTGTTGTTGTTGTTGCTGTTGTTGTTGTTTACTAACTACGCACATACACAAAGTATCTATTAGATAAGAAAGCAGGCAAGTCAACATTGCTCTTATCATCTGTACATCATTAGCATTGGGCATTGGCCCTCATTTGTGGCACGTTCATGTTTGAGACAATGTCACCAAGGCGATCATTAGCTACGCTAATGATAATGATAATGACAATGCTAATGATAATGAGAATGTTGATGATGATGATGATGAGACGTGCAGCTCATCCTGTTTAATAGACTGCACAACAATTACATTTTAAGTCCAACTATTTAAATGCTTAGCATATATATATGTAAACATATATCTTTTCAGCTTTGGAATTTCTTCATTCGCTTCATTTGGCATTCAGTTCAGCGATAATTGTCATAAAAATGCGTAAATTTAGCTGGGTGTTTAACTCATGAATAACTTATGCAACCTGACGAATAATCACGCGAATTTCGATTGCCCAAGCAAAAACTCAACAAAAGCAGCAAAATAAATAAATCAATAATAATTAAATATATGCGTTAGCAAATATTTCAATATAGCGGAAAAACAATCAAAGGCTAGATAATAAAAGTATCAAAAATTGATGAGCTGCGCACAACTGACGCAGTTTGATGAATAGATTAACAAACCGTGAAGAAAAAGTCCAAATAAAAAATAAAAAATTAATAAACGAATATTAATTAAGATTTCCAACTTGATTGAAGAGCTATGTGCCAAGTGAAATTGTTGCCCAAATATCAAATATAAATGGATTGCGAAACTTAGGACTAACTGGTCTGGTTATCACATTGGCTAATCGCAATCAGCTCGAGCCCAATCCAAACTCGGGCCGTAAAACATTTGAAGGCTCTCCAAAGTGTTAAACTATAATAAACTACATGTATTTGGTCTCAAGTTTTAGATTAAAAGTGTATTCGATTTACTTTTGCTGTCAAGTTGCGACTGTGTCTGGCCATAAAGTCTCGAGAGTTCTTATAAAAGTGCCAGACTGCATTGATTTAGGTAAGATTTATGGCTAATGTACAATTTTTGAAGGTGTCTGTAAATGCTTCAAATAAATTCAAGTTGTCCTTCTTTAGTTGCGGGTATTCTTTTTGGCCAACTGACTATTTGCGATAAGCATAGCCTAAGTATATATACAATCACCCAATGTAATATACTATCTATATTCTTGATCAATAATCGGGTTTTGTTTGTAATCTGTCTTAGGACAATAAGCAAATTGCTTGGAAATTAAGGTACATTTGAGCTCCAGCGAGTTCAAACAATTTATATTATATTATAGTTTGATTACTTTGACCTTACGATCTTATGTGGAATATCAGCCACGAGTAATCTTTTAAATCTAAAAGACACAGAGCCAAGGTATTTTTATGATTGTGTAACCTATTTATATGGTTCACAGGTTTTATGCTAACTTAAACTTGGTAGAGTTACGTCTCTTTGCTGCACACAGTATTTTCGCCTGACATTTCCTATGTATAATAAGGCGTAAATGATAAAGAAAGAAGAAGTTGTAGGCTTGATATTAGTGGAAAACCAAGTTACAAACACTTGTATCTGAAAGATATTCTAATAACCCTATTAAGCCTAATATATAAACTATTTGGCACTTATATCACACATAATTGTATTTGTGTTTGTATTATATCATAGTATTTGTAGTTTAGACACAAGTACTATGTATATGCGAAAACTACTATATATCTGAAAGGGTATCTTTTGTATCTTCCGCAACACAATGCTCTCTCATATTTAAAATAATAGTTCTTTCTGACTGGCGCCTTTTCGTTTGCCTGTAAGCCATATTTTCTAGAAATGCTGTACTATAGTAAATGCCTGTCTTTTTGGCTTTTCTTTTCTGTGGCATGCAGAGTGGCGGTATTTGATGGCTATTTTACTTCCGATATCGCGCAAATAAGTCATATTACACGTGCGCCCTTAAAATAACCACAATACGCACACACACAAGAGAGACTGGCGACACGCACAGGGAAACAACTAGCAGCTATGGCAGCTATATATAAGTATATCTAAAATCGTATGGGTATACGTAGTCGTATCTATGTCATGTTGAAACATAATTTTAGCGCATTCAAATTGCTAAACATTTGTCAAAAACGGCCTGGGAAGGGGGTTGGGGGTCAATGTGTATTCAGCAAATACAGAATATATACATATGTATGTATGTATATGTGTATATCTATCGATATGCACAGATTGATAAAGGATACATTTGAAGAGAGTAACTCTCTGCTGTATTTGATTCTGGCCAAGACGTTGACTGACATTGAAATTTCTCATTATCAGTTAATTATTTGCTGGCCTAAACCAAGAGCCGCTGTTTGAATCCCTCGCGCTCTCTTCTTTCCGGGCAATTAGTGAGCTGGTGTCAAAAATTACTCAATCATTTGTTAAACCTTTGCCGTTTTGCAGAGAAATGTGAGAAAGAAGAGCAACAGACAGACCAACAACAACAACCACAGCAACAACAATCAAGGTTACACAAATTAGCGGGCCCAAACACACACATATATATATATATATAACTATATATATATAGATGTGTGTATATATATAGAGAGGTATGTAAGTGTTAGTCGCACATGCCAACTTACCACTATGTGAGTCCATATATCTGTTTATGCTCTCGATGTATTTCATAATTAAGGCCATTTTGTTGCTATGTGTGTATGTGTGTGTGTGTGTGTGTGTGTGTGTGTGTGTGTGTGTGTGTGTGTGTGTGTGTTTGTTTGTTTGTGTGTGTGTGTGGATGTTGTTCTTGTTTCTAGTGGTGGTTCGTTCCGAGCTGCTCAGTAGTTTAATGCATCTAGTGCAATGCAAAAGGTGTCGAGCTGCAATGAGAAAATGATAAAGAATATTACAATTATGTAAAATATATATATGTACATATAATATATATATATAAAAACTATATTTTAACGGTTGTTTTCATTTTGTCATTTAAACAGTGAACCAAATAAAACACTTAAGCCCGGCGGCCGCCTTTCAACCCAATAATTATTGCGATTGGACATTTATCAGTATGCAGATAAATATAAAATAAACTAAATACATTTATGCATACACACACACACACACACACACACGCACACACTCTCGCACACCTGCATATGTGTTGAGAAAAAAAGCCCAGCTAAACAGCAGCAATAAAATGAGGTTAATAAACTAAAATCCAAAGAAACAAAAAAAAACACACACACACACACTCATATAAAATTGCCAGTCAGCATTTAAGCGGCATATTTACATGTTGTTTATAATTTGATGTTCTCGTTTTGGGCTTCGGGCTCTTGGTTCTGTTTCTAGTTCCGTCGATAAGCGCGGACTTTGAGCTCAAGCAGAAGATACGATATCGCACCTAATCAAGCGCATATCAATACAGATAAGCTCAAATCGATATTAATTTTGTGCTGGGGCCACGAAACATGCAGACCCCTAAACGTACAAGGCGGCGTATGAGTAATATTTGTCCAAACACATTCCTAAGCGCACACGCAGCTTATAAGCTAAACTAATGTTCTTATCCTGCTAGATACCTATATTTATATACACATATGTTTATCGGATATATCAGAGGAAATAAAAAAGTAAGAAGAAGAGCAAAAAATTATATGTAAATATTATTATTATATTATATTGTTATATTGAATATTTCAAGTTGTGTTTTTGCATAGATAACAATTTTAAATGAAGCGTTGCTCAAAAAATGTGGGAAATATTTTAGACTTGACCGTGTAAAGGCGGTCAGCCAAGAGAGGTTTCACTGTACAAATATTGCTTAGCCGAAAAGTAAGTAAATATTATAGGATTTGTGTGCAAAAGTGCAATCAAAGTTCAAGGATAGACCAACAAGCGGACCAAGCAAATACACTCACTCATACACAAACAGACACACAGACACACAATAAACACACTCACACACAAACACACACACACACACACACACACACACACACACACACACACACACACGTAAGCAGGCGGCACGAGGCAACTCTTTGCAACGGCCGCAAAATACACAAATTTTGTTTGGCAAATGAAAAGTGCAACAGCCGCAGCTGCTGACTCTTCGTTGTTGCCACACCCCACCCCTCCCACCCTTCCCCTTGCGTACTGCCCCTTGTCGGTTATGGCAGACGCACTTGGCATAGCAATTTACAAATGTGGCCCAAACAATATGCCGCACTTTATATAGCCATGTTAGCTCAATCGACAGGCCTCTGCATAAATAAATATCTAGACCCAAGTGAGTAGCAATTGTTGACGTCACTTGCACACACGAAGACACGCACACACACACACACACACACACATATATATATACATGCATGTACGTAAACATGGTCAGGCATTACTCATACGCCGCGTGCTGCTGAAAAAACATGAAATAATATGCGCTGAAAGGAATCTCGCTTGTCTAATTACCTCATTGCTGCAGAGACTGCACAAATGGGCCACGAATATATATGTATCTATAATACATTTAATTTGTGCCTGGCAATAATCTTGTGTTTGTGCAGTTAAGAATACACACATCGCAACAATAAGACTTAGAGCTCAGCAATTTATTGATAAGTCAAGCCTAACGTAAATTACAATATTGTAAATGTGTTTTACGTTAATAGCTCCGGCCCGAAGCGTTCATTTGGCATGACACACTCAAATATTGGGAAATTTACATGAGAAATCATTATTACACGGCACATTTTCGCAATGATGGCTTTGAATAATATATTGGACTTTGGTAATACACCCATGGATCAAGGCTGCAACTAACCGGTTCGAGCCCGGAGTTTAACTATTCACTAAAGCTTCAGTTAGCACAAAAGGGCAACAATGCCTGACTGAATGCACGGGATGATGTGTGATGATCTTAACAGGATCGTGCTCAATGCCAAAGGCAGTGCTAGTTCTGATTGCAGTTTTGGCGTGGCCAATTATCGTAGGGCAGGTGCAAAGAGGCCCCCGTCTAGGCAACACACCACAGTTGACAGCAAACAGAAAGTATGCCATTGCCAGCTGAATAGGAATACATTCAAAGTCAAAGGACGAAAGTAGATAATAGATACAAACTGAGCCACAACAAAACAAACACAGCTGAAGGCGCGCAAGCGGAAAATGCTGTCAACCGGGCTAAAACAAACAAACAAACGAAAAAAACCCCCCAGTTTGTCTTTGTCTTTGGGCTTTTGGTGCGAGTGCGAGTGCGAGTGGGTGGCAATGGCTTTGCCCGATTTGAAAGCGCAGCAAATGACACCACAAATAGGAGGCGACCCACTGCGGCTCAGATTCACCTTCGCACGGCCAGAAGAAGAGGCAGCGAAACGCGATGCCAGCGACGCTTTAAAGCCGTGCCAAATATTGCTATTTCATTGACCTGATTTTACAGCGCGCTTGTTGTTGTTTTTTTGCTGTTGTTGCCGTGCGCTCCATGTAAGCCCACACAAAAGCCAAAGCATGAAGCAACAATGCACACGAGCATGTAAAGCGACACCCCCAAAAAAAAAAAAAAAAAAAAACAGAAAGCATAAAAAAAAAACAAGCTAAAGCGAACCCCAAAGCAAAACAGAAGCCGAGCCCGCAACGAATTGAGTTTCCAGGGCGCCCAATTCAGACGGCAACATGCCGCTTAACCGGCGCCACGTTGTCACACACACGCACACGCACACATACAGACACAATCACGTGATGACGACTCTCTGCTGTAACAGCCACGGCTAACCCCCCGCCCCCCGCCCCCACACTCCTGCTCCAATGAAAGCCTGCGCCCTCAGCCCAGCGGCTTGCTAGGGTTTCTCTTTGCTCTCTTTTTTTTCGGTTCGCTTTTGCGCAGAGTCGCGCAGCGAATTTCTTGAATGAAAATCGGGCTCTATCGAGAGCGCGCCTGGATCCGTGTTGGTGTTGGTGTTGGTGTTGGTGTTGGTGTGACTCACACACAGTGTTGCCAGCTAAGCTTTTTCCGCCCCCCGCCAAGTCTGGCCGTTTTTCAAACTGCGTTTGCACGCAGCGGGAATTCTAGCTTACAATTCGTTCAATTCGTTTTACTTTTCAATTCTCTGTTAATTTCTACAAAAATTGCATGCTATGTAATTATACATATATAATATATAGTCCAGAGTATAAAGCACGTTAAATTCAAAGTGGGCAAATGGCCCTGCACGTTTAGCTATTAACTGCCAGAGAAATGTAAAAACCCAAAAATAGTTGCGAAATACAAATTATAAACATATTTATTGGTATTTTTTTTAAAGTAAATTAAGTTGTTTCCTGTCTGCTGGAGTTGGCTTTTTTTAGTCTTTCATCAGCTGGCAGCACTGCGCAAACACAGCGTTAGGCACTTGCTGCCAGCCCTGCCAGAAAATGAAAAAAAGGCTAAAACAAAACGCGTTTAATGTGCAACCAACACGCCATGAATGACGCCTGAAAGACGCGTGGCTCGTCGTAATTGTTGTTGTAGTTTCAGTTGTTGTTGTTGTTGTTGTGGCTGCTCGTATTATGTCAGTGAGTGTATGAGTGTATGTGTGTGTGGGAGTGTGAGTGTGAGTGAGGAGCTGGGCCGCGCCTCGATTCTCGCCCAGCAAAAGGTGTCACGTGCGTTTTGAGCCAGGCATTATTGGGGGGCGTTCTGGGTAGGGGGTGGGGTGCTTGTTGGCTGGGGGTTGGTTAAGCAGCTCGCGTTTTCAATTTGCCATTGATTTTTGTATGGCAACAACTTGGTAGTTGCCAAGTGTTGACAGTGCTCAACGGGCCGGGTCAATGAATGGGCTCAGTCAAAGGTTGTTCGGTTATTTGGCCTACAATTGCAATTATCTAGAGTGTTTTGCTGCCAAATGGCAGCGCACATGTCAAGCGGCCGACAAGCGGCTAAAATGGATTTGAAATGGTAATTAAATGAACATCTAAACATCTTTTCCAGATAGCCCTGACAACTGGCACGTGTATCCATGAGATACATATGAACTGTATCTTATACAAAACGCATCTAAGCGGCAATTAGACGAAGGTTTATGCGAAACGCTTGAATCGTACATACATTTCGGCCTAGATACCTAGCTAAGATTTATTCCAATTAATTTAATATATATTTACTGCGACATTTATAGACCAAACCGATGACAACCGACAACAATCATAAGAAATACAACAATGGAACGCCTTTCACAACGAAGCAGCCAAAAAAAAAAAAAAACAAAAAACTGGTTAAAAATTGATTGGAATTCGAAATTTGCTTAAATCGCAGCAAGACTCTTGTTGCCAAGAGCACACAGCTAAGAGCTACCCTCTAAGCACGATGAAGAGTATACCAAAATGTCAGTTTCTTTACTAATTATTCATTTATTTATATTTGGCCACCATTTTTGGGTATTTCCGAATGGCCTTATACCACGTTTTACATCAGTAAATTTACGTCTCATATTAAGCATATGTATGTGTTTAAGATTCGGCCTAAAAAAGAAATTCCGCCTACATGTCTCTAATCTGTCCAGATCTTTGGGTGGATGGAGACTTTTCACTTTACATGACATCCACAAATCTGCACAACTTTAAAATACCCTTTGTGTAGGTTTTTAATGGGTAAACATGAAGCATAAATTAAATATTATAAATAGGAATCAACTATAGTTCATTGACTGCTGCGCGAGTTATTAACAATATAAAGATATAGGTCCCGTTCAACTCTAAAATAAATTATCGAAAATTGCGTTAAATTAGCGTAGATTATCGTTAAACATTCTGATGCGAAAATATACATTTATTTGCATACGATCGAATCAAGTCAAATATAGCGAGCGTGAGTATTTTCAATTCTACAAAAACAATCACGAAATATGAATTAAAAAACGGCTTGTTAGTATATGCTTGACTGGGCTTAAATTGTGGACAATGTGGGCAATTGTTTTTTCTTCTTTTTTTTTTTGTTGTCATTTATCACCTGGACGATGATGTAATCCACGTAATGAAATATTCATAAGGGTTCCAGGAAAGTCTAAGTCAGTTAGACTTGGAAAGTGTTGTGTGCCAAAACAATTTAAGGAACTTTTGATTAATACAAATGAATTAGATAGAATAGAATTCTCTTATAACGGACATTTTTCCATTCAAAAATTGCATAAATGTTGATTCCTTTTTTAAATGCATATTTGATTTGATTTTCAACAATTGACACAAATTTGATTAAAAATTGCATTTAGTCAATGTTTTGTTTATTATTTTTAACCCGAAATTTACCTTGTTTTCGTAGTAGCGTGCGTTGCAGTATTTTTCCTGTGTATTGTCTTTGCTCGAATTTGTTGCAAAAATTTGTTTAATAACTATTTAATATATGCAAGCATGTATGCGAGTAGAAACGTGAACAATTTGCCAGTGGCTATGGAAATTGGGAGGAAAACCAGTTGAATTTAGCTCCGATTCGATTTGATTGATTATAATTATAAGTGTGCGTCGGTTGTGTGCTTATATCGTAATATCAGTTATATCGTAATATCAGTTATATCGCTTGCATTAAGGATATGCGTGCGTGTTGCTGTTGTTGCTGCCGTCGCTGTTGCTGTTGCTGTTGCTTTTGTTGTTGCTGTTGCTGTTGCTGCATTTGTTGTTATTGTAGAATTGTTATCAATTATTGAAATTGTTGCTGCGGCAGCTGGCATTTGCCTGGCAATCGATGAAGGCCATTAAGTACACCATTTACTTGTGGCGCGCACTCTTCGCTCTCAGCGTTTGCTTATCACACTTTGGCAACCGTTATGTGTATATGTAAATATACAAGCATATATTATTTAGTTGTGCGTGCGTGCGTGTGTGTGTGTGTGTCTTGTTTCAGTGTGGCCAAGTTCGCCAAATTGGCAGCGAAAAGCGCGTGTCCTTCCGAGCACTTTACAAACTACACTTTGAATGCAATTCAGTAGCTTAACACGGTTGGCGCAGGCGACGCGACGCTAGGCACAAGACTCGGGGCGTCGGTGACTGGGGGGACGTTGACGGGGACAATAATGACGAGGCGAGACAAGACGAGGTGACCGAGAAACCGAGAGAGGCAAAACCGCAGACAGCGACTAGCAAAGCACGACTAACTGGCTGCCGCAACGGCTGACTAACTAAGGCCGAAGACGCCGTTAAAGTCGCCATCGTCGCTGCTGCGGCCGCAGTCGCTGTCAGCGTCAGCGTCTCGGTCGCGGTCGCAGTCGCGATATTGAGCGCGCAAGAGCTGAGCTTGCGGCGCCGCCAGCGTTGCTGCCGTCGTTGATTACGAATTTATAGACTTTGGTATTTAATGCAATATGCTGCGATATGTGTCTATATACATAAATGTATGTGTAGGTGTTTTTTTTTTCTTTTTCTTATTTTTGGGTCTGTCTTTTGTGCTAATATTCGAAATTTATTTAGATCATTAAAATGAGCTTCATAGAAATGTAAATTGCAATGCATTGGCGCGCCCAAGAGCTGCAGACAACAATAACAACAACAGGTGAATACGTTGGCAGCGACGCGAGCAGCGCTGTCGCAAGCTCAAGCACTGCTTGGCTCAGCTTGACTTGGCTTCGGTTCGATGTTGCAAGGGCCCCCCAAAAAGCAATAACAACAATAGCAACAACATGCGCTGCCGTCAACAGCGGCTGTTCGTAGATATCGAATTCGAATTCGACTTCGATTTCGGCAACGCGACGCGCAGCGCGCAGTCGCAGCTTTGCGACGCGCCGTATACAAAAAAGAAGAAAAAAAACCAAAGCTGCGCACTTGTCGATCAATTAATTATTACGGCATTTCACACATACACACACGCACGAACACATACACATGCGCATGCCTTTGGGTTTTTTTTTATAGGTTTCGGCTTTTTGTTTTCCTTTCGCCCGAAAATAAATTCACGTTTTTGGGACTTTTGCATTAAATCGAATTCATGGTCAAAGCGGCGATGTGTGTCGCCAAACAACAGGCACAGCAACTGCAACAACAACAACAATGAAAGCGGCAACGGTTAACAGGTAAACTTGACGAAATGGAAATTAAGTCGCGCGCAGCCCTTTGTCGCAATCATCTAATTTGTTATTGCTTATCTATTATGCATATCTATACAGTCTTGTATGTATGTACATACATATATATATATATATATATATATATATATATATATATATATATATATGTGTGTGTGTGTGTGTGTTATTTATTGGGTCGCCATCGCAGAATGCAATTTTGTAATAATTCAAGCCCCCGCGAATATTCAAATATATCTGAAGCCACAGTTAAATACACATGCATGCATACATATATTAATATATATGTCATATAGAAACGGGCACTGCCGGTATGCATTTCAATTAGGTTATGGGTGGGCGTTATTCGAAAGGGTTTCTGGAGGCGTGTGTGGGGAGGAGGAGGGGGGGGGGGGGGTTTGTTGGTGTATCAGACACATTTCCGCTAGACAGATTAAATTCAACGCTGCAATCGCAATGCCAAGATGATTTTGATTGTGTGTGCGTGGGGTGGGGACGGGGACGGGGACGGGGTAGACAGACATTCTTCGTTTTGGGGTTTTTGGACTACGACTCGGATTTCGACTCGGATTCGGATCATTGGTCGCCTCGCGCACCTGATGTACTCTTCGGCGGGCAGCGCTCTTCGAGTGGGAGCGTGCGCTCTTTGGGTGCCTGCTTCTTTATAAATATATATATGTATATATATATATATAATATATATGAATTTTTTTGTGTGGCATGTGAATGTCTTGGAATTATGTCATATCTTCCAATGCCACACACTTGCCCACGAAACGTGCACTTTGGCTGCGGATGTGCTAGTTGTTGTTGTTGTTGTTGTGGTTGTGGCTGTTGTGAAGTTTGTGGTGTTATCGTTGTTGATTAATTAGCTGGCCAAAAAAACGCTGGCCAACTGATTATTGGCAGGTGACAATGGGCCAACATTGAGCAATGCCAGCGATTTGGACTCAATTAACTTGGCCCGAGTTGGACGGCAAGTTAACTGAGTGCAGGATGCTCGTGTCGGAGGCTGGGCTGGTTACGTAGATGTGCATCTGATTATATAGATATATTTAACCGATAGATTAGCTTATTTATCGAGTGGCTATACAAAACGTTGCACATAGATAAGCCGCTGTCTTTTTGTAGGCGGAAACTGGCACTTGGAACATTTAACGGGCAGACAACAGTTTTTATATTACGTGTATCTCTGAGATACACGCGACTTTGTCGCGGCACGAGGATTTCAACGAAGACGCAGCACATAAACGTAACACACATTAATAAAACGTATTTGTTTGCTTTTTTTTCTACTTTTTTTTTTTTTTCTTTTTTGTTAGTCACGTGTAATTGTAGATATCTCATGATATCATTATTTAGATTTGTGTTTTTTTTTTTTTTTGTGGCAATTTACTTCTGTTGCAGCAGTTGGGCAGGCAGGCCTAGGAATTAATTTGTGCGCGAATGTGAATTGAATGCGAATTTTTTCATTTATTTAATTTTATTTAATTTTTTTTTGGTCTGGCCTGACCCAAAAGCGAACCAGACAAGACACAACCCAAAGCGAAATGCAAACTGAGGCACACGAATTGGGCGAAGAGCGAGCGAACCCCAGAGAAATAAGTGAATGCGGTGCGTCAGCGAGAGAGGAACCGAGTGAGGGAGATAGCACCACAGAGAGAGAGAGAGAGAGAGAGGGGGAGAGCGAAAGAGTACTGAGCACTGAGTGCCAAGTGCTGTGTATCTGTATCTTGTGGCTGGCAAGCGGCAAGAAGCAGACAGCAGACGGAACGGCATTTGACAAGCAGTCGCCGCAGTGACAGTGACTGCGACAGCCGCAGCAGCGGCCGATTGTGGAAGAAGAAGAAGCATGACCGCTGGCAACATTCGCGTTTCACTACACACGTTGCGTCACGCGCCAACACAGAAACTGCCACAGCTACAGCAGCAGATACAGATACAGATACAACGGGCGCACACACAGTTACGCGCGCCCTCTCCGTATCTGACAGATACATTCAGCCAGCCCGACAGGCATATTTTCGTGGATGTGGATGTGGCGCAAAAAGGCCGGCTGCTTGCCGGCCATAAGCGCTTACTCTCGTTCGCCTCCTCGCTCTCTCTCTCTCTCTCTCTCACTGGCTCTCTTCCTCTCTCTGCTTATGCCTCTTACAAAATCTCCGTGTTGGTGCGTGCCATTGATAAGGCGCTCTCTTTGCCAGCGTGTATCCATGGGATACGTGCACTTTTGTTGCTTTTCCAAGGGTTGTCGCCTACTTTTTTCATTCTCATTTTTGTTGTTGCTGTTGGTTGCTTTCCAAACACAAATGCCGCAAAATAAATACGAGTAGCTCTGCGCCCGCTGTAGTAAGCGTGTTCAACAACAATAGCAACAACAACAGCTGCAAGCACAGCTACACTCGAGCGTGTACACAGATACATGCACGCACGTGTGTATGCACACACACACACACACACACACACACACACACACACACACACACATATTCAGATACACACTCCACTTGGCATTATGTCATCCAAGTTGAGAGAGGCCTGGCGCTTTCAACTGTTTGTTGTTGTCGTTGTTGCTAGTTGTTGTTTTTTAGATGTTATGTTTTTTTTTATTATTTGGCATTGTATTTTGTTTTCCTCAATTTGTAGTCGAGCCACCCCTTTTTGGCCCAGCAGGACATGGCTCAGTTGCCACACGGATATTTACTGGTCCTGTGTTTGCCCTTTTTCGACTGAGCCGCACCTCTCGCTGGAAGAAGGTGTGCGGATATGAACCGGAAATGATTTTACCCCATTTAGTTAGCGGGCTTCGTTTACAGCTTATGCTTTTGGCCCGACAGAAGTAACAAAATTGCAAAGTTATTAACAATCATATGCGGCAAGTAGACCATGAAATTGCCAAGGAGCGATACAATACAATCTAAGCCAAATGGAATTTCCCGCTTATCCTGCATCTGCCAAAATACAGCTCAGTTTATGAGGGCAACATGGGTTAAAGGATGATTAGGATAAGAGAACTCTTACAAAAAGTAAAGTAAAATAAATGTTTATAATATAATATAATATAATATAATATATTATAATGTATATACCAAAAATATTAGAAAATAAAATTATTAAATGCTTTTAAACCGAAATTTGATTTATTAAAAAATAAAGCAATAACTTTCAACTTATGTTTACAGTCTTGATATTTGCATTGGTGTTCGCCTTAGCCAGCGCACACTGTATTAACGACTGCTGTTAAGTTTACAATGCGCCGCGCGTCATAAATCTGTGCAAACAACTGCAACTGACTGAAAATGGTTAATAACTGGCAAACTAATTAGCTCATTAGCTGAAAGGCGCATGTCAAACCGTTCAATTTGGCAGACAAACAAAAATCGCAATGGCCAATGCAGTCGAATCGAATCAAAAATCCATTTCAAATGGCCAATTAATATTGCATTATTGCACAACTGAACAATAGTTGGTTAGATACAAAGCCGCGACGCACTTTCAAATAAACGAAAACAAAATAATAATAATAATCATAAATAAATAAATTAAATAATATAAATACTAATATTAAAAGTGTTGCGCACGCGCAAATGCTTATGATTGCGAAATGTTGCACGCGTGGGCTGGCGGGGCTTGCGGTAAGGGGGGGGGGGGGCTCTGGGTGGTGGCCAATATTCTTTGGCTTTGGCTTGACAATGTCAAAACTAAACGTGTCAAGCGCGCAACAACATGTTGTTGTAGTTGTTGCTGTTGTTGTTTGACTTCGTGTCATCATCATGGCTCAAACGCTAACGGTTCATGTTTAGGCCAACACACACACGCACAACATTTACATCTCACCTTGGGCGCGCACACATGCTCTGTGTATCTGTGTGTATTTGTATCTGTATCTGTGTGCGTCAAAGAAATTGCCCGAGTGTTGGTTGTTGCTGCTGCCGCTGTTGTTGCTGTTGTTGCTGTTGTTGTGTTGCCCACTTTTGCCTGTTGTGCCGGCGCATATAAATCGATTAATAAGTTTCGTAAATGAAACGCCATTATCAACGCCGGCAGCGACGCCAGCTGCGATGC